AGCACTTTAAGCAATATGGTGTGAACGGTTTCTAAACTGTTGTATTTAACAATGGTTGTCAAAAAGCAAAGAAATATGCAGGGGCCGGTTGCATGAAGCCTGGATAGCGTTATCCACTTGATAGCAAGTTTTTTAACCTTTTATAAAACCTTTTAAAAAGTAAAAAGTATAAGATTGGATAAAGTAAATGGTTTGAACCCGGGAGTATCGTTACATGTTTGTAAATGTCGATCGTCCAGGTTGGTACAGTCCTGAGCAGGACTGTTTTTGCTGTTGTTGTCATTTTGACTCTGAAGATGACTACCGCTAAGGTTGTCGAAACGTCAGTCAACAACAACAAAAACAGTCCTTCTCGTTTTGACTCTGTCATTTTGACTCTGTCAAACAGTCATTTTGACTCTGAAGGTGACTACCGCTAAGGTTGTCGAAACGTCTTATTAGATTTTCTCTTTTTTTCCAGACTGAGACTATCATTTCCCAAAGTACTAGAAATTCTTTCCACAACACTAACTTTCTATTTATCGCCTGTCTTCTTGATATCAAAATAGAAGATAGTGTAATAGCTGCAGGCAATTATTTTTGTTGTTTACGAGTTTTGTCCGCATGCCGCATTTGTTGAATTTCCGTTTGCTGTTACACACTAGGCTGAAACACACTAAGCAGTCGCTTCAGTCGCGCGTCCAAAGCGAATTGAAGCGCACGGGTCAGTCGCTTGAACGCCAGAAACACACATGCAGCGACCATCGCGACTTTTACCGTGGCGTCTATTGAACATGGCGGAGATTTTTGTTTGTTACAGACACAGACATCACTTAAACTTTTTATTTTGGCCTTTATTACAGCTACTAATATATGAATATTTACTCAGTACAAACTACTATGTGGAGAAAAGAGAACAAGCCAGCTAAAACCCGCCAATATGATCATAGCCCATTACGCGTATATCGTGGACAATCTTATTCTGTGCGTTTAGGTTTTGCATTAGGGTTCCAGTTTGTAGCTCCTATTGTCCGTATTTGATAAGTCATAAAAAAACTGAAAGATTCCATTGTGAATTCACTATATATTGCCCCGTTTTCCACAGTATAGTGTATAAGTTCGGTATGATGCTTATGATAGGGAATATGATATGCATTTAGGAAGTTAAAATGTATCTATTGGCCAAACAGTGTAAAGCGACTAATGTCAAAAGTTCCACATGTTGAACTTTCAAAGCGACTAGATGACGCGACTACGCTACTAGCTTAGTAACCACGCAAAGCGGTAGTTTTAGAAGAGCGACTAGAGCGACTGCCCAGTGTGTTTCAGTCTTAAGTTTCATCACAAACCTAGTTTTTTCCATACGGATGAAAATATATTTTGCACAACCCACTCTGACATACTGATGGAATATGTTTCAAAGAATTTCTTATCATAAAGAACATTCTACCGTATAGTCCATGAATGAACTGCTTGTGTTTGGGTAATGATTGGTGCCGATGTTATTTTATTGTAGTCCTCATGAAAAAATATTATATTCTCCGAAAAATAAACTATTACAACAAAAAAATTCAAAATTAGGATTGACAAAAGAGAAAAGGCAAGAGGTTTTTACCGCAAGCTGGAATATAAAAGGGCATATTTTTCTTTTAAACTTTATTATATAAATTATATGGCAGTTTATACAACAAGACTAATTTCTAAAAGCATTGGACCTTCAAACTGGCAAGGAATTTAAGGACGAACTCCTTTCAAACAACATGCTTGGGCTTGAGAAAGAAAAAACAAAGTCAACACCTGACTTTGCTTAGTTTGCTATTCATGTTTACTAAACACTCGTAGACCGCGAATAAATTTATGTCGCCACACAATACGTTAAATCGACGTTTACGGATATATTTTCGAATCGCAAATATGACATTTCCACAATTGCAAATTTGAAAATTGTAAGATAAAGATCACTTTTCTGTGAGTAATTCTTACCAAATTTATAATAATTTCGTATTTGCTTTCTACCTTTTACAGAAATACGGCCACATTGCTCACATGCAAAATATTTGGAGAAATCTTATTGGCGTAAAACATGAGAAACTTTCAAAGACTTGCTAATGTGTTTTTTTAAATATTTGTATAACAACGTTAAATATTCAAGCATTTTAATTGGTCGAAAGCCATGATGTATATAATAAGAGGGAATGACGTAACAAGAAATTTGTTGTTTTTGAATGACAAATAAGTAGCAGAATTATTTAAATATTTACTTAAATTCATTCCTGACTGGACAAATGAAGACCTTGAAAAAGACCTAGTAGAAGCGGTTGACGTGTTTGAGTAAAAAGAAAAGAAAAAAATCGGGTTTTCTAACGTTGAATCAAGGAGACATAAACAAACTGTTTCTCTGTTTCATTTGCGATTTTTTTTTTCGCCTTTATTATTTATAGCAAATCGATAACATCAAATTGTTATATATACACGGTATGACGTCATTTGTGATACGAACAAAAAAATTGCCATTGGCCAACGGGGTGAGTTGTTAAAAGCATGTTCCGTTCATGTGTTTTTAGAAAAAATTTCAATGCAACTTGTAGTTTTGTTATAACTATTAAAGTGCCCCTAGCACGAAATAAGACTTAGCATATTCTGAATCTTTATGATGCTTATAGAGTAAAAACAGCTATTGCAAATAAATTTGATGGTTTGTTAGGCGAGCTTCGGTCGAAATTCGAAAATTTTAAATTTTAACGGCAAAAGTTTTTCCAAACTGCGAAGCCGGAAAACTGGTAACAAGTACGTCACAGTAGGAATCGGTTGCCTGTTCAGCTTGTTTACATATATAGTCGGGCAGATAAGTGAAGAAACTTGAGTAAAAACTTACCATACCTAATTCTTAATTGACATCAAAGTCTTAAATAGTGTAAATTTGTTGAAATCTCGTCCTCGAGCTCAGACACCGAGAATGACAGTTATCAAACTGATGATTCCGACTTTATCTATCATTCTGGGCCATATGATGTGCACAAATAAAACAAAGCAGCTGCAAATATTGAAAGAACAAAACCATGGTCCATATAGCAATGAACCGATTGCTGACAAACATTGGCTTGCTAAATACAGCGAAAATAAAAATAAATACGAGCAGCGATTGTCTATGCTTCGGCTAAGACTTGATGATACTGAAGCAATTGATAAACGGTGAATGTTTCCAGATTTAACGTTTTAATGACTGAGCTCGGCGCTCCCGCATATTTTTAATTTAGACTCTACACAAACATTTCTTAGTGTATGGTATTACTAATGTAAATGAACGAAACTTAAAACTTTGCGTGGGTTTTCCCAGTAGGTTGTGTATAATACAAATGAACACAAACCAGAACGTTTGACTTTGATCAGCTCTTCCTATTTTGCTTCAAGAGCAATATACTATTTCCATGTATTTCTTTTTTGTTTTAGCAAATAAGTGCATCCAACACAACCGTCTGTCTGAGTTGCTAAATTATTCTTCTAAAGTATGTACCAAACAAAACATTAAGAATAGACTGATTATGCACTAGTATGTAAAAGTTGTGGTCCGTTTTTAAACTGAATCAACTTGCTTACTCTTGAATTTATGAAAATAATAGAAGATTACGTACGTTTAGTGGCAAAGGCCAGTCTTTGCATTGATCATCGGCATCGCTAGTATCGCAAATTTCCATTACGCGATCAGGAACTTCATGCGACTTTTTAGTTTGTATGTTTGTTGTTAACGCTTCTCTCAAAACCTTACGAAATACAATTTACACTGAATTCTGCGTGCCGAATTTGTCAGTTTAAGTATAAGTATATTTTGTAATCCGAATTATAATGTCCTTAAGTATGCGTACTTATGCGTCTCTTGCCTCAGTCTCGCAGTCAGAGTACTGTTTTCTGCAACACATGCTGGATGGTACTTTGAAATGGCTATAATGCCAATTTCATCTGTAACCAACCGCGGTAGTTTTTCTGAGTCGTTTGAAAAGATTTGCGTAAAATCGTTTTTGGAAAAGTGTGCAAATGTTAGAGTTTGGGGTTGGATCCCATTTTTCTCGCTTAATCCGCACGAAATCGATCCATTGCTTGCGTCGCCTTTTGGCTTCTGGCCTTTGGACACCAGAAAACGGTATATAATGAAGAGAAATGCCATTCTTTCTACTAGAAACATTACAGCAACAACCTACAACACATCTATTTGGCATTTTTCTTATTTGCGGGAGTTTAATTTGCCGTCGCCTTCAGTAAACAAACTTAAAATCAATGCACGCATTACTGTTCCATATATAATAAGCCAGACCGGTTCCTACTGTGACGTCACAACATCGAGATAGCACCAGTCTCTTTTGCGCAGTTTTTAATATTTTTAGCAAAAGTCTGACTTCAAACAGCAATATCTTCCAAACGAAAGAAGCAATTTCAATTCTGTTTTCGAATATTGTATCTACTCTTAATGTATATATTTAAAAATTATAAAGTCCTATTTTGTGTTAGGGAACTTAAAATTTTCTCTCTGTCTTAAAACAATTTGGTCGGACATTTCACCATAAAAACCATACGACATACGGCATTGCATTGTCAACATTAAAACGAATTAAATCACTTTTATAAGCAGCATTTTTGGAAAAAGGCACATAACAGATTACAGTTAACTTGAACTTAATCCCAGATAATAATGATGAATAAGTAAAACGAAACAAGTACCCAAGGGCACAATGTTCATGATTTTATTGAGGGAGGTTTTTACTATATTCTAAATTCTCTGCCTATTGACATGTTTCTACTATTTGTACTTTCTTTATTTGGTGTTTTACAGCTAAAGCCACCAACTATGAACACTTTGTACACTCAATGTTTCAGACATAAATTCCTAATTTGACATACTGCCATCAAAGACTTTTGGCTGATGAAAAAAATTCAAGTCCTTCAAATAACTTTTACATAAGTTAGTTGAAAGACTTGAATTGATCTAACCCTTTCGTTAATATTAGCGATAAACTTGAATGAATTACCTCGTTAACAAGGAACAATAATTTCTTTACAATGACCTTCTTATCATGTGAAACAGTACATTGAACACCAGGCTGGCCATAGCTAAACGGCAAGTTAAGGGGTTAACAATATGAAAACAACATAAGATAATAAGATATGACGTTTAAACCAAATTGAAAACATGATCACGTTTCGCTTTATCTAACAAAAATCATGCTACACAACATGCATAAACAGTAAGCTAAACAGCAACTTTTATGTAGAAGTCATGATTATAATCATATTACCACATGTATTTTGATTTGATAACCAAACTACACACAGTTGTACTAGCAACTAGCAATAATCATCATATGTTTTTTAAATAATTTGCATTACTTCAGAAATACAACTTGGGTATGAGAAATGCGATAATGTCAACTTAATAAAATTATGACGTGATGTTTAAGCACAGGTTTAAAACATGACCACGTATTAGGTTTTTAGCAACACAAGGCAAAAACAAAATGAATCAATTAATCAACAATTTTGGTGTGGAAGTTGCCACAATAAACGCATATCTATACCTATTTTGTTGTGCCAACCAAGCCAAAGTTGCACAATAAATTACCAAAAATCATGCTAATAATGGTACAAAAAAAAGTTTATATGTATTAGTTAATTACTTATTATTTACAGCCGACAAAGGGGGTGATATCAGTTGTATTGATGGAAGTACAATCAAAAAGTTCACTGGAAGAAAATAGTGATACCTCGGAAGCGATATCAACTCATCCCGAATACCATTTATGTACATTACTTAAATTATTCCTCATTTATACAGGTAATATTACACCCCACTATCAATGTCAATAAACTAGAATGTATAATATAATTGGAAACACATTAACAACTGCTTTCCAGAAAATGCTAAGAAGCAATTTACCAGTGCCCTAGCACAACATTTCATTGAACGTGAAAACACACAAGATATTTCCAAAAAAACAAATATGTATGACTGACTGACAAACATAAAAACTACACAAACACAACCTTGCCCATTAAGCCCTCATTCATAACAACTGCAAAATTCTCAAAAAATTCCATAACAACGAACACCAAGTCAAAAGCTCAATAAAATTATTTAAAAATCCAAAGAAACCTTTATATTTCAACAATAATGCCTGGATTACCAACATTCAAGCTTATATACAAAGTGTATAACAATGTGTAATCCCAGCTATCGCTATAGTGCAATGGTGACTCCTGCACTTGTGACACAGATATATATATATATAACTAGCAGCCTGCTTGTAAATGTACCATTCATTTTCATAACCATTTTGAAATTGAACCAAAATATTACAGTTTAAATTGTTTTGGTTACGGGTGTATCTTGAATTTGAGTTTACAAGAAGTCTTTTTTTTGAATTACATTTTAGTTTATAACATATAAAATTGTTATCTGGCTATAGATTGTAACCTACTCTTATGACATTCGTAGCTTTCATTGAGGTCCAAGAAAAAGGAAAATGAAAATGATTTAGACTTGTAGCCTTCATACAAAATATCTGTATTTTTATGTATAAAATGCATGAACTACTGTCATAGATTGTCAACCATTTGTGTTTGAACATTATTGAAAACTTATCTGGACAAAAAGTGGAATCTAAGAAAACTTCATGTTCATTTTGTGTCAAGCTTAATTTATTTTACAAGTAAGTGATATAATTGATAACTTATTTCACAAATTAACATTATTTTAATCAAAATTCATTATCTCAATTGACATGGGCAACTTCACATTGGCGTTTATTTCTCACATTCTTCAATTCCTTGTATTTGAAATCTATTTGTATATCACATTGTGTGTTGCTGTTTTCACATGAAAAGTTGGCAAAAGCTCTAAGAATAGAGTTTCTCTTTATTTATTTACAGCGGGATCATTCCTAATTTGTAAACAATAATTCAAACATAAACTGCACATATTGGAGACTATATAAATGCATAAGGCACAAAAACTTGGCTGCATTCATTAGGCCTTAGTTACTGTTACTTGTATTATGTCAACCTTTTGATTTTTCATTAAAATAATAAAAACTTCAATGAATAAATTGGTTGCCTACTTGACTTGGGTGGTAAAATAGTTTGATCATATCTAAATTGTATTAAAGCCAGTAAATGCATTTAGATTAACATTTCAGCATCAGTAACATGATAAATTAGCCGATATATAAAGTCTTCATTAAGAGAGAGAGCTATTATACTTTACCAAACAGCTGTAACAAGGAGTTTAGAAAGACAATGACGCATAACGCAACGGAAAGTGTATTTTCCTCGACATTAACATCGAAATACATAATTACAAAGGATACAAATTTATATATCCTTTCGCCGTTCCGATAGCCAGTATTTTCTGCAGAGGATCATACGCAATGCAGGTGGGTTTATAGGGAAAGCCATGTCGAACAGTCTGCAAAATATACGATGTAGTGTGACCACGGATATCCGTGTTTACATTGGGATGAAGCAGTAGCAGCCCAAATTGAAAGCCTATCTTACCTTAATGAAGGAAAACTGTTCGGGTTTCAATCGTTCCTCGATGGGCTCTTCATTTTTGCTCGTATTTCCAATATTGAATAAAGTCAGCGACTTCACTGAAATACTTTTAAATCTACTCATATATACATCGGGCCTGTCACGAAATATAAAACTTCATCGGACTTCGACCATGTATGAATGTAATTATTTTCACCCGATTCGTATAATACGCAAATTCTTTGTAGCACAATAATTTCACGCTTTTTTGCGGTGTTGCCCATTGAGTTCTATTGTTATTATAGAACTCAATAGAGGGCCTGTTCGCACTGGTCGTTTAGATCGATCTGAGATCGATCTAACGTAAAGCGAGCTAAGTGTGAACCTTCACTAAAATTTGGTCAAAAAGTGTGAGCTAAGTGTGAACCTTCGCTAAAAACCTTCGTCAGCTCGCTTCGAAAGGTGGTCTGAGATCGATCTGAAATTGATCCGGTTTATATGTGAACGTAAGTGAGCTTATTTCGATAGAACAGTTTCGCTCCCATGCCGTTTCCGCAAAAACGCAGACATTTTTCTTAAAATTGAAAATCAAAACAGAGAAAAAAGCTTGGAAAATGGCGCAAAAACGAGAGGTTTGGTCAGAAAAAGACTGTTTAGCCCTCCTCTGATATTTATAAAAAGGGATAGATCGTGATTGGACGCAATTTAGAACTAAATTTAAGCATATAAAATCTGAATACAAAAAGTTCAAAGACACATTATAACGATCAGGAGCTGGAACCTAAATTCTTTAACGTTATGGACAGTTTCTTGGGTGACAGACCGGAAGCAAGGGGTCTAAAAAACGTCATCGATACATCTGATGAATGAACGTGTTCATCAGCTGATGCTGAAATAAAAAGCATTAACAGGCATGATGATGATGGTAAGTTATCGTGGATGAGTTGATATCGAGTGGGTTTTTTTTGCAAAAGAAAATATTGGTTTTGCGTTTCATAGCAGACGAGCTTACAAGGAAATACGGACATGGGATTTCATTGTAAAAAATGTCCTCAGTACGATGAGTTTGTGGAGCTTAGGCAGCAGGAGCCCATGTTGGAAACAGCACTGCAGTATACGCTGATGATGACAGACTTGTTTGCCCATATTGCGATTACATTGAAGCAGGTGAATAGTAGAGCATTGCATGTGTGTACTATATTTTGTTTTATTACGTCGTAACATTTATGTGATATGTTATGTAGATGTTAGTAACGCAGATGAGAAGTTACCTAGTGAAGCAAATGAGAAATCCCAACCATTTCAAAGTGAAAACAAATCAGTGCCAAGGAAAAGAATACCAAGGGGAAAGGGAAAGCCCTCCAGCATGCAAGTGGCATTCGAGAATGCAATGAAAGAGCATAACAAATATCTTAAGGAGTCCGATGAAATGTTTTTGTCATAAATGAAAAAAGAAGCAGAAAAAGAGCAAGAGTTGCAAAAGGAAGAGCTTAATGTTTATAAGGAGTCAATGTCACTTCTTGCAAATGCAATAGCAATGAGGTCTCAGCCTGTGCAACAACCATTCTACAATGTTCATCATGATGCTGAAAGTCAACAAACATATTACAAACTTTGATTTAATTTAAGAACATGAGTAATTTAGCTATCATCAGCTTATTGTGTTATCAAAAACTCAGTTAAAGAATTTCTAATTTGCTCTGCACTTGTGTCTGTATTCTGTAAAACAAATTCTAAAATTTCATCATCAGGAATAAGTTCAACATAATCTGCAAAAAGTTTGTCTGCTCTACTCTCACAAATATTGTGTACAACACAACATGCTGCAATTTTCATAGGCAAATGATCTAAATTTGTATAATTCTTGTTAAGTAGGCATCTGAATCTGTTTTTTAAACGGCCAAATGCACACTCCACGACTTGCCTTGCTCGACTTATGTAGTAATTAAATTTCTTTTGAGCAGGACTGAGATTGCCATCGTTAGGATGCCTCTTCATCAACCATGGGAACAGTAGATATGCTGGATCACCAATAAGCATGAATGGTACATTGCAACCACATATAACAATAGCTTGGCAAACCTCGTTCACGATTCCACAGGCTGTACTTTTTCCTATACCAAAACGCCAAGCTAAAGAACGCAAATCTTCATTGGTAGCCAAACGCCAAAGACAAATTCCTACTCTTTTTGGAATTTGTATGGCGCGAAAAAGGCCATCACATAGAAGAAAGCAAAAAACTAATGAGAATAAATGAGCTAACATTTCTCTCGTGATCCGCTGAGATAAAATATGATATATTTTGTTTCATGCAGTCTACACACTTATATATCGAGCAAATCATTGAACGACAGTTACGACGCGCACATCTGCATTCATATGTGGCCAACAAATAGCTCGTTCGTCAATAGTTAAAAAAGACATCCGTCGTAGAAGCCGACAACTGGCGACCACAGTAGACTCGCTTTTTATGAAATTTATGTTTTTACAGTGATTTTCATCATAAAATTGCTTGCCAAATATGCGAAAAACACATACACTTTTTCTTCACTCTTTCTTAAGTGGGGAGACAGGAATTGGGAGATTTTCGGAAAAGCAGTCAATTTCAGTAAATCTCAGCGATAATGGAACAAATCATCTCTTTTTTGGCGTCAGCCGCTAATTAAAGCCGTGTTAGAGAATATGAACTCTAGTACAACTGGAAGGCTAACTTAAAATGATTGTTTTGCAAAACCTGCTAACTTGGAAATAGAATGCTAGCCTAAATGTTTTATTTTTTGAAAACCGTTAGAAAAATTTGGTTATTAATGTGTTAAGATGCATTGTGGACGTTCCAAGACATGTTTTGTATACGTAACGCTGTGTTATGTATACGACATGTATTACGACATGTTACGTATAACGACGCATGGAAGTATTACGACATGTTATACGCAACATATTTGCGTATTGAGCATTCTATCAGCAAGTTCATGCTTATAAATAAATAGCCAAGTGTACAACATGACAAGTATAACCTGCTCTACATAAATGCCAAAAAACAACCCTCATCCTCAGTGGTTTTAACCAGGGTTTCAAAAAGATTATAAAGCAAGCAAGGCTATATCATGTATCAAAATATACATTGAAATGCATTACTTGGAATGAAATATACATTGCTGTGTGTACTTTAAACCAGACCATGTTCAATTGGCTTATCAATGAATTGGTCCGGTCTTTAAATAATCTATGATGTGGTGTGGTCTTTGGTCTTTATAATTTGGAAAAACATGCAGAAGTTTTGTCATTACTCAACTTACTAATTTTTTAAGCTCGATTTAAAGTTTGATCTGATTCATATGCAGTATCAATAGCAAACAAGACTGTTCTTCAATAACAGAATTGTTTTATAATGCCTGATAGGAGATCCTGCATACCCACTAACACCATTTTGTATGAAGGAAGTCTATGTTACTTTACTCCATAGCACTTTTGTAGTTTACCAAACACTAAACTAGATTTGAAATTCTATATCCTTGGCTCTAACGAAATCTGGGAGTATTGGTTGCCTCATCCTCTTGTAAAATATTATCATTTATTGAAATTCGAGACGTAGTCGCCATGGTCGCCATCTCAGTTTTTGTTGTACTGAAAAACGCATGCGAATAACGAGTAATTCGTTCCGGGCTGAAATTGCGCAGCGACTACATGGCATATTTAATTCCATTTGACAGGGCTGAAAATCTCATTCCGATAAACATAAACCGAGATGAAAATTTAGACTGGGCTGAAAGTTAGCCCGTGCTGAAGTTTTTCCCCATGTAATCGTAATTTAATTTATGAGGGAATAATACAAAGTCCGGGCTAAATTTTCAGCCCGGCGAACCGAGACGAAACTCTGCCTGGGCTAAAAATGCTCCATGTAATCGGCCCCTTAAAGTGCTTTGATTTGTATTATTATTCACCATATGTAAGCAATGTAGGTTGTGATGGGTCAACTACCTGCGAATAATTCTCGATATCTGTAAGTAGGACGTTATATTCTCAAAAAGTATAGTTTATACAAGTCTTAACGCCATTAATAGTCGGTATTGAAGAAATCAAACAATAGCGAGGTTTGGTAGACAAAGTTTCCAAAAACAGTATGTAAAAGCTTTTGAACAAATTACTTGCCGTTCGCCATTTTTGTTTTAAAATTCAGAAAAAATGTAGCTCATTAAATGGTGGAAAGACATGTTTTCTGTTGTGTTTTCTTAGCCGTAAATAGACAGCAATCTCTACCTTTGAATTCAGTTGTTTATAGATGTCATAATAATAGAAAAACATTTATTTAAATTTAGTGAATGTAATTTATACACCTTTAATACTGTTTTTGCAACAAATTAGCAAAATTAGCAATTAATTTTTCTATTCTTCATCGCGGCTAGATGCACATGTCACCATATTTATCCAATCACCATGATCATAATGCGAAATGCAGAGAACAATGCGTGTCCCAACTCTTGTGTAAGCGAGCTTGTTGATCACGAGAGACGTACTGAATACCTTGCAATCAACTTGAAAGAGTTGGTGAAAAAGGGATAGGACTGATAAATCAAATCGGTATATTAAACATTAAAGTAAATAATAATAATATTTAATTTGCTTTCCAGTAGAAGAATTATTTTACCAACTATATAATTACTTACGCAACATCAGTGGACGCATTTAGTCTATACTTTGGTCTCAACTTATGTTCTATGCCTTTCCATCCTTCAGTATGATAGGAAATGTACTGAAGAAAATAAAAGAAAACAAAGCGCGAGGTATGTACGTGTGCTCTTTTAAATAGGCCAACCCAGCCGTGGTACCCAAAGCTCTAGGAATGGTGGAAAAGCCGATACACCTAAAGGTAGCGAAGACACTATTAAAACTCCCCAGAAATCCAAATGAGATTTATTCACTTGTCAAGAAACTGTCACTGATGGCTTGCTGCATAGAAATAGACCAAAAAATTGTAAAATTGAATTTATTGCAACGTTTCGTCTTTACTCAAGACATCTTCAGACAAATAATAAATATGATGTTAAGACAAGATATTATATTTACAAAAAGTTACTGCTATTATATTTACATTAAATTACTACTAAAGGAGGCGGTGTCAAAAGGATTATATGATAAGGATGTTAGGAAGTAAAATAAAGAGAAATTAAAAGAGGTTTAGTGTTTAAGTGGAATGGAGTTTCCTAGCACGTTAAGTGTAGGCATGAATTTATTGATTAGAAGGCTCTCATGAATGGAGAGTTAATAAGAATCGTTAGAAGAGGAGATTATTTTAAAGTCGTCTAAGTTGGGGGTGTGTCCAGTTGCGTTATTGTGAGCAAAAATTCCTGATAACGCAGTGTTGGAAACTTGGTTGCCTGTAAGGGGGGATATTCCCAAGTGCTCCGAAAATCTGGTGTATAGATGACGTGTGGTTTGGTATAGGTGACGTGACCAACATACGAGGCGTTGCAGCTTCAAAACTTGAATAAATAGATTACACCTGGTGGTTGTTAAAAATGCTATTGGATATTATGCGGATGGTTTCGTCAACAGGTATGTTAGTAAATAGGGATACGACATCAAAACTAGCAAGGACAACATTACTGGAGTTGATATCGCAATTTAAGATTTCTTCAACAAAGGAGAAAGAGTCTTTGATGATGAGGTTGCTTATAGTGAAGGGTTTTAGGAGTGGGATGGAAAACTTTGCTTGTTTATACAAACAGTGATTAATGGAAGAAAGAATGGGTCTGAGAGGAATGTTACATTTATGCAGTTTAGGAAGACCATACATAAAAGCTTCATCCCATTTACTTACAAACTTTCACTGGTCTCCTGCTTACTTCATCGCATCTTCAACCTTTGTTCTACTTACGAAAATTTTCATACACAACTCAAATTTACCAGAAAGTCACTCACCAAAAACGGTTTTCCTTCACGTATAATTGACCAAATCACACGTCGCTTCCTTAACAACACCTTTGCGCCCAAACCACCTGTCATGACTGCTCACAAAATGCCAATCTATTTTTGTCTTCCTTTCACCGGCATGCACTCCCTTCAAATTCGTACACAAATCAATAGCCTTTGTGCTGCAGCCTTCTCACATATATCTATTAAATTTGTTTTTCGCCCTTCCCAACGTATCTCTTCTTTCTTCCCCTTTGAGGACAAAATTCCTAAACCTCTGAGATCTGGTGTAATCTATTTATTCAAGTGTCGAAGCTGCAACGCCTCGTATGTGGGTCAAACCACACGTCATCTATACACCAGATTTTCGGAGCAATTGGGAATATCCCCCCTTACAGGCAACCAAGTTTCCAATACTGCGTTATCAGGCATTTTTGCTCACAATAACGCCAATGGCACACTCCCAACTTAGACGACTTTAAAATAATCTCCTCTTCGAACGATTTTTGTGAACTCTCCATTCATGAGAGTCTTCTAATCAATAAATTCAAGCCTACACTTTAACGTGCAAGGAAACTCCATTCCACTTAACCTCTTTTAATTTCTCTTTATTTTACTTCCTAACTTCCTTATCATATAATCCATTTGACACCGCCTCTTTTAGTAGTAATCTAACAACTTTTTGTAAATATAATATCTTGTCTTAACATCCTATTTATTATTTGTCTGAAGATGTCTTGAGTAAAGACGAAACGTTACAATAAATTCAATTTTACAATTTTTTGGTCTATTTCTATGGCTCTAATTAAAACTTTATGTTGAGCATTAATTTTTATTAGACGAATTCGATTTCCGCTCGGCAAGTCTCTCGCTACTCTTCAATTATGTTTAACGTAATGTTGTGTAGGGTTTGGTAATCATCTTTTTAAGTTTTGTGTATTTAACTGGTCTAACACCCCTTTCTCCAAAGCATTTAATGCAGCCATGTATTACTAGAAGCCATGTCACTGGTTTATGTTTAGAATCAATGTGGGAGAAATAGTTTGGTCCTGTGAGAATATAAACTTTGGCTGCTAAAAATAAAAACGTCTTCACTGGATAAGCCGGTTGCGTAAGAGCCAGGAGTGGGTAGAAAGTGGAGAAAAGCCTCTTTAATATTGTCATGATTTCACATAAGTATCTCTCAAAATAATCATCTAATTACTTACAATTGAGTTGTTCATTTTTTAGTCAAAGGAAGAATATGAGAGCATATCTTAAAGAGCTCCTATCAGACCTCAATAGACCTTGTCAAGCCAAGTTATGACGTCATCCAAGGTAGTTGGTATATATATTTTGTACGGAGGGATCCTTTGCATGACGTCACAAAAGAAAGTCGTTCCAGACGTTTTGAATGACGTACAAGATGATCCATGAAAAGGAGCGTTTTGCCAACTTTAAACAACCATAATAATAGAACGATTTGACAAAATTAAGAACCTTTTTTCCTGATACGTTGGAAATTACAACAAAATTTAATACAGCAATTAAAGTTTTTTTGCTGACAGGGGTACTTTAACAGAAATGAAAATTGGTGAGCTCTTAATTGGCTGAAAAACTTAACCTGTTGACAATACGATAATGAAGAGATAGTGATATGATCTTCCAACAGTTGCTTAGCACACTCAATAATTGAGAAGGTGGGCATATATGTAAAACTTTTACAATTAAAACATGCATATATGCACTTGTGTCCCCTCCCCCCTTTTTTAGTATCGTGTTAGGAAACAACAAAAATGATGAATTAACACTCTGATAAATCAGCCGGGCTCGAAGAATTGAAGAATGTTTTCTATTTTTGCATTTGAGTCATTTTGGAATATTTCAGAGAGGTTACATGATATCCAAAAATCAATTCTTTTACGGAAAAGAGTACTATACAAAATACCAAGGAATTCTGCACTTGTTTTCCAAGTCATATAGTCATGCAGATAGACGTAGTAAAATAGGCTAGCACTTACGGTTTTTTGGGACTGTTCATTTTTGTGATAAAAGTTTAAAGGGTACTTAACACGATTCCACATGTTGGACATCTTGGATTTACTTGAGGGATGATTCCAACAACATTTTTCGCTCCTTTTGTATTCAAATTAGTTTGCCGCCATGTTTTACGTTTATGTCATGACAAGAAGCGAGCCCACAATGCATCTAATCATAAACGTCATGTTGTAAGTACGCATTGATCAGATAGCGCAGCTAAAACATAAAAACGTGCGTCAGTAATATTTTACTATTGAAGGAACGAACATGTCAAGAAAAGTGGAAATCAAAATCATTTAATATAAATTTAACTTTAGTTCTACATTAAAAACGAAAGAAGGTCAATAGTAATGTTTACAGCACACATTGGTGAAACCAAACGACCGAAAATATAGCAAATTTCACTGAAATATAAAGACAAGCAGTGGATAAAGCTGCCCAGGTCAGGAAAGAGAAAAAGGGATTGAAATACTTCCCTCCTGGTGAGAGGAAGTGCCAGAGCTTTACTACAGTTTTAACCGAAATGCTATCAGAACACATGTACAGCAAGACATTAGCCAAGATAAGTCTTAAAGAACAGGGATGATGTACAGATCTATCAAATCAAGTTAATAAAAGTTTGTCTCAGTCTCCGATGTCAACGAGCAAGACTGACCGCCGAGGCATAATTTTTTAATCCATTTTTGTGTTTTCGGAAGCGTTTCTCGCATTCATTTATCCGACACTATTACCGAATTCAATTTAATTTTAAGTACATTTATTTTTTAGAACATAGAGATAATAGTTGAAATATTTGTTTGATATACTGATTGCTATGTAAGTCATACAATATACGTAAATAAAATGTGTGAACAAGTATAACAATTCATTTATCACAAAAATGAATTGTCCCAAAAAACCGTAAGTGTCCATACCAGTATCTAAAAAGTATTAGGCGACTAATACTTTTTCCTTTAGTTGCTGTATCTCAACTTTCGTTACATGAAAAGTAGGACCCCCCCCCAAATTGCTCGCCAATAAGGCCTTGACATCATTGTGTCTGTCACGCATTAAAATTTGTTGTAGTTGAGCATGTATAATAATATGCCTTTCATTCAAAGGCTTTTGTTTATGAATCCTTTTAGTAACCAATATTTCACGTAGTCTTCTTATTCCAATTTCATTTAATTCCTTCTTATTGTCTATAATTGTTCTACTGTTTAGTGCAAAAAATAAAAGTGAGACAATGGGTAAACTTTGTGCAGACTTTTTGGCAGTGCTCCAAATCGAGGGGATTCTTACCCGAAGTGATAACTCTTAATGAGAAACTAAGCAATTAAAATCTTCAAAAAAGTTTTAATTTCTTTGCAAAGCTCGTTTCTAATGTTTGTAGTCGCCATGTTTGTTGTGAAAAAAACTTGTTATCATTCTCATCGTAATTTTATTACTTGTCTTTTTATCCCGTATCTTCCTTTTTAATTCACATTCACCTTATTTATTTCATCATATACATCTTGACTACAAGTTTATCAGTTTCAGTCATTGACCATTGACATCATTTTCACTATCATTTTCTGTAATCTATGTATTAGTTTCAATGATACTTTGATGCATTTCGAATGGTTATATAGCAAAAGAGCTTTTATTATAGAAACAAAAATGCTCACATCTGTCATGGAGTTTCATAAACTATAACGGACAGCATCAAGAATGGAAGAAGTCAGGAACAGGAAACAGAAAGACAAGCATAACAAGCAGAGACAGAACGAAAAAAATGGCTTGTTAATTATTCTTTATAACGCCCAGCAATCAAATAAAAACAAATCTTGCATTAACAGTACAACAGCCTCAAAATGTTGCAGTATTCAGAAATAGTATTATGTATAGGATATGTATAAGTGATAGAGACGAAAGTCTATAGTCTAGAGACGAAAAACTTATAGGCTTACGTTTGCGCCTACCAGCAGTCAATAGCAGGATGCGGCAATGTTTTTTAATACTTCCTTCAATAACTACGACTAAAGATGCAAGTTAAGGCTGAAAAATGTTGAGAATGAACCCACGTCATTAATTGGATAAAATGTTTCGATTTGTTAGTTCCTTAATAACATTGTCACAAACTTCTTCTTTACTTTTCGATGCATCGATAATAATACAGCTAGGATTCTCCATATTCTTGTACGCTTGAACTAACCTATCAAACAGTAAAACAATATCGTGAGTAAAGGCATGTTACGTGCGTGGTCCCAAAAGGATAAGCATTAATTTTGGTTCTATTTTCACAAGCGGCAAAGATAGTGTGAACCAGTTATATTCATCAAACAATTTATTTATCAACGCGTAATTATAAGTATAGAAATGTCTTAATAATAATATTAACAAGTATAATTAAGGTAACTTATCTCCTATGTCTGAGTGCAACCGCGAGTCTTTACTCACAATAGTTTTCCAAAAAGATTACAGGCACAGAAGCCAAAAGATAGTTATGCCTCTTAAAGTTGTCTCCTAGGTTATCCTCGTAGGTTGTACTCAGTGGTGTAAACTACTCGTGTATATATAATACTTAATGGGAAGTATTGTGGTTTTGTGATCTACATCCATACGCAATACACAGCGGCGAATCTTGGGTACTTCAAACCGGTCACTTGACCATAGCAAAAATTGCTAAAAGTCTTTTTTAACTGTATTGCGTAATAAATATTCGCTCAAATGAAATTCTTTACAACATACACTTTTCAATTGCTTATTTCATGCAGAATTGCTCAGAAACGAAGTCGTCAGAGTTTCTACTTTAACGCAGCACACTTTTATAAATCTGACTGATCTGCTGGCAAATTTAAGGGTTTTTGCCGATAAGGTGTTTAAGGTTTTCTTAATAGAGCTATTTCATTGGTTGATTATTGAGTTGACCCCATTGATTTCTATTAAACTAACTGGATATACGAAGGGGCCTGGGAACTGTTGTCAAAAACATGGATGCCAAAAAGAAATTTTGGGCGAAAAACTTCCACTTGAAAAACTATTTTTATCATTCATTCCCTCCTGGTTTCTGATTCAATACAAAATACAACCAATAAAAAACAATACCGTTGATGAAATAAATCCATAATGTTTTCGATTGAAAGGTACGCTTTAGCGTTTTATGAAATGTAATTCCATTAAAAAGTACAAAATTCACATTGGAGAAACCTTTGCTTTTCTTACACGACAATTTTAATCAAAAATAATACGATGCAAGATGGCATTCGTCAGTTGGAGTTTGGACCGTGAATGTATTATTGACTTGCAATTCAGCCATGTTGGTGGTGTGATACAAAAGAATAATTTATTGTTGGCACCAGCCGACGTGGGCAAGCACCATTATTTGGTAAATCTCAAGAGAATGATTGCAAGTCAAGAATTGTGGTCAAGCTTATTACAACTATCTTTATCGATTAAATTGACGTAAAGGCATGAGAGAGTGTCCTAGGGCAATTCAACTGCTGATTGAAACTTGGCTAAATTTGCTGCCATTGAATTTTGAGTAAACATTGCTTGGATACTGGCAGTGGCAAATGTCATACATGAACTCTGGCAGTTCTACTGAGTACATGATAAGACAACAATTTGAACTTGCTGACTTATAGCAAAACCCAAAATATTATATAATGCAATTTCTGGTTAGAAATATATAAATAATTTTAGCCACATTTTTGTCACGTTGCTAAAGGATTGTAAACTGTTTTGCACTGTCAACCTTAGATCAACTACTGACTTGCAGAGCAGAACTAAATTATTATATTTTGAAACTTCGACTTTTGTAATTGAAGTGTATTGGCTTCTCTAACATGTATCATTGCTTCTTGCTGCATGAAAGCAAAAGTATGCAAATAATAGTGTCTTAAGCCATTACAAGTTTCATAAATATTGTGCATTACTTGTAATATTTTGGCTCTGTGTAATGTGATAAGAATCAAATTTGGACAAAATCACTGGTTTGAAGGGACTAAATATCAACTAAGACACTTGACTGGGCCACAAAGTTAACCTGGCCTTGCACCAAGTTTGCCTCTAAGCTTGTTTTATTATGTTGAAAACTTGAAAATTTGAAACAATATTATTTTTGGGAGGGTAAGGATGTATATTTTTGATTCACAACAAAGAATTGATACTATACTTGCAATTAGAGGAGCATTAGCAGTTTGAAGAGAAATTGGGAGGGTGGTGAGATCATTGAGGGATAGGCAATTGCTGTTCAACAAGGAAATAGTTTTCAAACCTTAAATAATATATCAATTCTTGGACAAGAATGGAAAATATTTATCCTCAACCTTTTAACATAGAGGAAATTTTTTTCAATTCTCAAACAAAATAAAATCAATAAATTCAATAAATCAATGCTAACTTATTCTAAAATAATTCTAGACTTAATGCAAGTTTAAGGAGCTCTGCAATTTATGATATCGAATTTATTTCAGTCAATTAGTTTATTTATTTCCACATCATCTTCATCAGACAAACAGATTTTTGCTTCTTCTGCAGTCAACTTCATTGCAACTCATGCATCCCAAGAGAATCCTGGCTAACCCTGAAGTATACAAAAGTGTGTTGAGTGTTGTCAGATAAGGCAACGAGAAATTCAAATAATCATACACACAGTCATGAGCAAATCTTTGCATCATATGGTGAAGGCAGCTCTTTTTAGTTGGTTGAGTTTGGATGTTTATCGTGTTTACTACTACCACGCATATTGCTTTAAATGTCATATATAAAACTAGTAGCATCAAGCATAACTTTAACACTATTATCTTTGTTGCTTACATTCAGACTGTTTTACAAATATTGCAGTGTCGTAGTATAATGTTTGAAATGCTCAAATGCATTCCATTTCGACACAACTCTAACGTCTAAGCTTCACTTTTCCCTCATGTTTTCAGAAAAATATTTGGAATAAATCCTACTTCATTTCTTGAGTTGGGAGTGCGAAAATTCAATTCATATGTAATGGGCGAGTTTTGTTTGATGGAAGATACCCTTTGAAAAGAATTGGCTGTTAAAAAATATTGAATATTTTGAAAGACAAACAAGATTATCTGGCTTACCGGTGTCATGAAATGTTTTCTTTTCTTGCACTATTTCCCCGTTACGTTTAGCACAAGTTTTCAGCATGGGTTTTTTTGATGAAATTTAAAAAAACTTTGTGACTGAAAGCATAGTTTCAATATTTTATTTCTTTTATTATCTCGTCTATTGAAGTTTTGGGTGAAATCCGGAGAAGAGAAAAAGTTTTTAAAACATGAGCCTTTGCAACTCCGCTGATATTTTCACCCAAGATTTGCCATATAAGGTATGGTGGCATCCATGTTTTTGACAACATGCTGCCAGTGAACTCAATATTTAAATAACTGGAATGATAACTGAAGCCAAAAAAATATTTGTCGTCATCATTCGTCATCACTCGTGTTTCTCGCGTGTTTGTATACAATTTGTATAATAAACAATTTGTATTTTTTCGGATCCTAGCTCTTTAGCTTGACCTCAGTTGATTTCGTTTTACTAGTCAGTTTTATTTTCACGAAGAAAATCTTTTGAATTATATTTATTTCAATTCTACATTATCCTCAGTACAAAAGTATGATTACGTTTTTAAATTAACTAAAAGGATTTGTTGGTATGAATTTTTATTCGACAAAATTTACATATAGAATGAAAACATCTTTAATATAGCTACTATATGTGAACTGACGTTTCGACAACCTTAGCGGTCAATCACAGTCATACACAGTCAATCTGCTCATACACAGTCAATACTCATTTTTTCATACATAGTCAATCTGTTCTTAAGCTGCGGTTTTCCTTTAAAACACATCAAAGTCTTTAAGGATATTCAATTATTGATATCGAGATGAAAACCATTTTGTATTTCAAGCACTATCAAAATCGATGAAAATGACAATCGCTCTGTAAAAAGTAAAAATGCGAGTTATTGGCTCAATATTTTTTATGAAACTGGATATTCAAGTTTCTTTTTTCTTCGGAATAACAGAAGAAAACCATTGAGTTCTATAATAACTGGAGCGGCTAGTTGGACTGGGACCTGACGCCAAAAAATGGCGGCCAATGGACCTATTTCCGCTGAAATAATCGCTTTGCAGAAAAATTGTATTCTTGACCCCCCTGATGTCTATAGCTAATTATACAGACTTTTTCAAAAAGAAGAACGATAGCTTTTTTTGGCATTGCTTTTAAAATCCAAAACTTCAATCATTCAATTGTTGGATATCGTAGTGTCCACAAAAAGGAGCATGTCGCTTTTACAGGGGAGATATTTGTTTTGTTTGTTCATCAAAAATTAAAAAGCAATTGAACCTGAAGCCTGAGCGATAAAATCCGACTGATGTTTTCCTATTTATGTTTTTAAACATCAACAGACTTTTCCTATGATTTGTTAATGTGTAAAACCGTAAATCTGTTTGCAATATAGTTTCCCTTATGAGAAAAAAGATTCTGCTGTTTTTACTCAGTGGGCAGATAGTATGAAGAAACGATCACCCCAAAGAGTACACATAATGCAGAGATGAGTTTGTTCTGATCAACCTGCTGACAACATGAAGAGATGATCGGATAGCAAAATGTTACTGGAATATGTTGCAATACCAGTACCAACACTATTTCATAGAGGACTATGAAGACAATTGGAAGATGCTATTGACCTGGCAGAGTCTAACTTCAAAATTATAAGGCTGAATACAAACAAAGGTAAATATTTTACAGACTTCCCTGTCCAACAGTTACTTCAACTTGTACTAATTCTATGGATGGAGATAATGGATTTAGTAAAATGCCTTGAATGCTTTGAAAGTAAAGGTCAAGTAACAAATAATGATGAGAAGGTTTTGTGGGTCTTGATGCTTGATGAAATACCATGTAAAAAGGTCATAAAGTTTGTGCTTGTGTCAAAATTGCTACTGAGATTGATGATGACTTGCTGCAACTGTACAATCCAGTGTGTTTTTTACAACTAAATTGTAAAATCATGTCACATCTTTTTATTAAATTATTTTAGTAGAATGCTGTTTGAATGTTACTTATATGTAATACAGGCCATATTGAAGCATTAAAGATTCAGTGATAAAACTTCAGTGCTATATATTTCTTCTTAATTTTAGTTTTTGCTGAAAAAATATTTTGAGCTCATTTACCTAATAAAGTAGAGAATGGACATTTGCCATTTGCTTTATTTTCCCCTTTATTAAACCTGGGAAATGTTTTATTTTTCCAAGTTTTTCTTCAATTTTTTGCTTCTTAATTCATTCCATAACATGAATGAAATACAGATAGTGCAGTTTAATAACTCTATAATTTCCAAAAAGCTGTTAAGCTTCTAGCATTAAAGAACACAAAATATGCTTAAATAATTTGGTTTTATTGCCTTATTTTTACATGTGTACATGCACTTCATCATTCTTGTATAAGCAACACCTGATGTTGCATACTTAGAGGGAAAAATCCCATAGAAACTGATATTAAATTTGGGTATAAAGTTTATTATTAAGGGGAAAACTTTATTAAAACTTTATGCAGCAGGATTTCCTCATTTGATTATCACGACAGAAACAAGAAATAACGCTTACGAGTGTTGTCTGATAAATGAAGTTATGTCAAAAAGGATTCCTGCACTTGACGATATCAGAAAAGGCTTGATTAGTGTTGGTGCTTTGGGTACTTCTTTTCTGCAACTTCTTTCAAAATATCCTGAACTGATAACAAGGTAGAGAAAAATGTTGAATTATGAGTACTGACGTATTTTTTTCACTTGTTTCAGAATTTAAATTATTCTTTAGAGTGTTTCCCCAATGTGGAGATAAAGTAATTGATTATTCAAAGTTCGATGAAAGTTTGGTGCTTAAAATGGCTGATATTAACAAGGACAACCAAGCCAAAGTGTACTTTGAAATGTATACTTCCGAGTTGAATCTAAGACAACATAGTAACAATTTGCCAAAAACATTTTTCCAATCACTTCTGTATTTCGTCATGTCATAGTGCGATGTATTTTATAGAGCAAAAAGAAGAAAGAAAAGTTAAGTGACTTGCTGCTGTTTTGGACTGGGTCCGCATCGCTTCCTATGGGGAATGGGAAGTTGGAAGTGCAGTTCTTGGAACATTCAAGTGATAAGACTTTGTCTGAAGCAAAAACGTGTCCTATGATTATACGGATTCCAACGATTCACAGTACCTACGCTGACTTTAAAATAGCTATGGATCAAGCTGTTTCGATGAGAAAATCTGGTTTTGGTTTAATGTAAGAACTTTGGCTTTGGTATTATGCGCTTTACACAATATTAAGTTTGCAGTTGAACCATACACAGTTTTGTTAATTCATGTTTTGTTGGTTCATGTTTTGTTGGTTCATGTTTTGTTGGTTCATGTTTTTGTAAACATATGAGAACGAATCAGTACAATCATAAGCGCATTGATATACCAACTGTATGAACAATTAGTTGTTAAAGATGTTGTGGTTAAAATAGGCCTTCTTACCGATTGTGAAAAAGGTTGCACACATTAACAGCTCGTCAATCAATGGACGTCTATCGTTAAGGAATTGAAGGGTTTAAATATAAATGTCAACACCTTGGTAAAGCGATGGGCTAGTAAGTTGAATTGTATTCTCTAGTTCCAACCAGTCATTTGGATGCAGATTTAACTGTGTTTCTGGGCATTCCTTTTGGTCATTTTCCAGAATAATTAGTGGCTCGTTTGCAATATTGACGCCGTAGCTATCTTCATTAATCTACAAACAAAAAGGGCGCTGTATTAAAAGATATTTTTTTCCATAGCAATAGCATATAGTTTTTAACCTATGCCAGAAACTGTTTAATTACCTTGTTGCTAAATTCTGTATTGACTGTACCACCTAAATGCCTGTTTTGTAACATACCACTGATCCCAACTTGCTAAGGGGTTTGATTATGTTCCGTGCTTGTTGGAGCCTTGTTGTAAGCATCTTTAAACGCTGCTAACGACTCATTTATCCTCTTTTCGTAAACGAAGTGCAGAGCAGCCAAGTGGTATTTATCACAGGCATTTAGAATGCCAGACTCTTCCATGTGGTAAATAAGATTGTAAAAAACACTTGTACAGCCTAAAAAAACATCACGCCACAACCTTTCGATGCGCTGGTTGTGTACGCTACAATGTTAATTTTAGAGTGTTAAATCAACACCGAAAAAGGTGTTAAATACAAATGGCAAAAATGACACCTTTTAGGTGTTAAATTTAACACCTTTAAAAGTGCTATATTAACAATTTTGGTTGGTGTTAGATGAACACTGTTTACTGGTGTTTCTGGCGTTATATCAACACTTTTGAGAGTTATTTTGACTCTTGTATTGGTGTAGCAAAAAAGGCTTGCATGCTTTTCATTTCACAAAATTTAATGAAGAGTTTCAATGGTGATACAAATACATATAAGTAAATAAACAATAAATAAATATATACAAATTAATACATGGAAAAACATGCAAACAGTTTGATATATAATAGATTATTCAATAAAAATATAAGTCTAATCAGTTAAGTATTCCCTTTCTCCGGAACTTTTGAATAAACACTCTTTGCTGTTGGTGTTTTTAAGACTTTCGTGGGTTCAACAGTTTACCCAATACAGAAAGATGTTCTCTTGATGGTGTTGCTTCTTAATCATTACGCATAGAGCTGTCTTTAAGAGAAAAATGCGGTGTACTTCCTGGTAAAAAATATTGTTTTATAGTCTATAACAAAAATCATCTATTGAAGGACGCGAATATTATTTAATTATAAATATTTGTCCAACTATAGTTTGTATGCAAAAGCGGTAACAAACACATTGTTTATGACAAATGTATGAAAACAAGCGCGTCATATTAATATTATAAAATGTTAAATGTTACCAAATTAGTAGTTAGCATTGCCATTTATTTTTAATAGCAGAGTCTTACCGCGCTCCGATTCTTGTCATTGATCATCGGCGCCAAAGCTTAGCGGACTCTTGCCATCTACGAAATTGAAGTTAGAAGCGTTTGAAGCTTACTCAAAAAACCATTATTCGTTATCCATAAGAAAATAATTATTTCTTTACGAAAGACGCAATGCAATGCAGATGTTATAGTCAAATGAAATGACGGTGTCAAAACTTAACATTAAAAAGATACTAACAATTCTTACCAGCTATTAGATGCGCAGACATTAAAATACATCTCTCTCCTTTGAAATGTCCGTTAGGCGTCCCTTTATTTTGTCAAGAAGTACACAGCTGAGGTTGAATCCGTTAGGTTGCCGTGTGAAGCTTCGAAAAAAGATGCGGCTTTTATGTGCACGTGTTAAGAACGTATTAGGCTATGAGCTCCACTACAAGGTTGTTTACTAGACAAAATTCACTTGCCGTTTGCGATTGAACTGTCCTTAATATCTCAGTAGTAACCAGTTCAGATAAGACTTAATAACAGCGTTAATTTTGACTATAACAAAATGCAATCTTCAGTGCAAGAGTGATAAGTGGTTGTTATATTATACATCATAAAAAGCTATATAACATGTGATTTAAATAATTTATTCATTATCATAGCTTCCTATAATGAATCATATTACACAGCTCAAAGTCTCTAATGCTTTCCAATAATTGCAAGTCGTTTTATTTAGAATTTATTTGTTTTATGATATGAACAGAAAAACTGTAAGAATTTGTGTGAAATGTAATTAACGATTTGCATAATTACCTTCTCTGATTTCGTGCTCATGTCATACATTTTCAATGTTATTCTATTTTTTGCCACAAATTTTTTTAATTTTTCCGGTACTTGTCGCAGAGTTTCTAAAATGACGCTTGTGCGAACTTCGCTCATTTAATATTAGTTTAGCACCCTGGATAAGAGAACCCAACACTCATATCGGTGTTAAAACAGCACTTTTCATTTTTACACCAAAAGTGGTGTTGACTTGTATCAGATTTGACGATGCTGAATCAGCACTAATATCGGTGTTAAAGCAACACTTTTCATGTAACATCAAAAGTGGTGTTGTATCAGATTTGACGGTGCTGTATTAGCACTAATATCGGTGTTAAAACTACACTTTTCATTTAACACCAATAGTGGTGTTGTATCAGATTTGACGGTGCTGAATCAGCAATAATATCGGTGTTAAAACAACACTTTTCATGTAACACAGCCTTGTGGTCTGAAATAGCACTAACGAACGTCTTAATTTGACACCCCAAAATTAACAGTTTACGTCCAGTAATATGACTGCCTCTATTTGGTCCACGGTAGGGGGGAGTTAGCATAAACCAAGCTACGTCCACATTTTCACCTCCTTTATCGGATCTTACACAAGATGGTGCTCGGAGCGCCTTCGGCGTTCGATTGATCTGACCAACGTAAAAATTCCTGGATCCGCCACTGGCAATACAGTATGTTACAGCAAGATGCATCAAATTAGTTAACCTCAGTATTCAGTAACAAACCACAATAAAAACCTCTGCGGTTCTAAAATATGTTTTACGCATGTAAGTAAGCTTCTAGCGAATGCAAGCAAGCTTCTAGACATCCTATTTGCAATGACACTGGAAAATGTGTATTAAAGATAGAGTATAATACGAACTGTATATAATATAATGTTAGTTTATGAATGACATTACATGATAGTAGTTGCTATCATGTAACAAGGAAACTGACTTGAATATGATTGAAAACGCACTTTCCGAGTCGATGTTTTAATTAGACTGACTTTCTAGTTCTTTCATACATTGGAGATGAGATTGAAATATAAGAGCTAAGTCTGGTATGTCGTTTGTTATGGTCTCATTTGTTCTGGAAGTCAAAAATAGGAGAATGTGATTGACACTTAATGCAGAGTTAACTTTGGAACACCCTCGGAAATAGAGTTTGGCCAAATAAAATATAACCGCGCTAATTGTAAGTTCAAAATAAAAATTTTATTACAATTTTATTGGTTGTAGATTTAAAAAAATTCAAATCTAACGTCAATGAATTTTTTTAATTTATATTTCACAACGTTGGTCCGCCCAATTCTTCAAATGAAATGCTTCATATCAAAGCACTTTACTTGTTTTTTAGATTTTTTACTCTGAAGATGACTGCCGCTAAGGTTGTCGAAACGTCAGTCAACAACAACAAAAACAGTCCTTCTCAGGACTATACTATCCTGGACGATCTCCATCTACAAACATGTAACGATACTCTCGAGCTCAAACCATTTACTTTAATGCACTTTACTATTATGTGTATCCAATTGAACTTCTTTTACAGTATTTTATAAATAAAATATTCCTTAATAGTGTAATACACATTGACACTTTAATCAACAATTTTTTTGGTCCTTTGCTTTCGAGTTTTGGATGGTTTCCTTTTGCCCCGTCCACACGTATAAGGATACTTTCGTAACCGCAACAAAAAAGTTGCAGATAGGCCTTTCGTCCACACGCATCCGAATATTGAGCGGGTTATCCGGAAACTTTTAAATTCGCTCTCTAGAGTGAAAAATTTCGTATCCGCAAACAATTTGGATGTGTGTGGAAGGTTAATCCGGATATTTTTGACCAAGATTGCCTAGCAACTATTATAGCGCGTTAAAAATGTCGTCAAATTTGCTTCGGAGCGATGCCAATCGACATTTTCCATTGCGTTGGATGTTTTGAATTCTAGTGTGACTTTCAGTAAGAATTCAACCTCATCATCAGTCCAAATGAAGGAGTCCATCTTGTTCTTCTCAATTTTTCTCGATTTCTGTACCAATTATGACATTTGTATTAAAAAAAGCCGAACAACGTTTGTACACACCGACCGAATTCAAAATTGCTAACCAATTTACCACCAATTTGGAACAATTTCAAAATATGCGCGGGAAACGGACAGCGCGAAGTCTTGGAAACTATAGTAAATCTGAATAGTATCAAGCTACGTGTGGACGCAAAAAACATTTTTATGCGCAACCTGATCCGCAACAAAAACACTACGGATAGAAATACATCCGGATATGTTTGGATGGAACCTCAATGAAGAGAAAGGGTTATTTAAGAAATTACTTGCTGGTAGTGGCATCTTTATTGGATTACCATACAAATGAGTTGTTGTTGTAATTTGGTAATAATGGCTATAGCTGCAGCCAGTAATCTAATTAAATATACAGCACCAAATTTTACAGTAGAGTGAGACTACTGTATGTTTCTATAATGTGCCCTTGTGAAATAAATTTGTATATATTACAAGACTATGCGTCAATGCTCTTACCGTTGTCGTAGCAACTGGCTTTTTTCTAGCAGAATTTCCTCTGTTGTTCCTGTCTTGCTTCGTCCTCTCAATCGCCTTATGCGATCTTCCTCTCCTAGCTCTAGAAAGATGACTGCTGACGGCTTCATTAAGTCTTCTGGCCATTTGTATAATGGATGACCCTTGGTTGGAATGTTTCGTTCATTACCGCATTTTGATTCCAAGGCGATTGCATAAGCCGCTGAACTGTGCCAATATCTTAAAGCAATCAATCATCATGATCATTGCAATTTATTAGTACAATATACTGTGTGTTTGATAAGATTTAGCTTTTCAAATCGTGCAATTTCATTGACAGGTAACAAGAATAGATTTTACGGAATATCACTGCCGGTCTAACCACTTTTTTAACGTTGGCTTGTGCTTTAGTCTTTCCCTGGTTACTGTAAAACATGGACGTACGATGGAAGATCAATTGGATGTAGGAGAGAAGAGAATGTTCAAATATGCATATTATAAATTTAATTATCGGGGGTGTCACAAGCAAAAGATTACAAGGACTAATGCCTTCTCATATTTTTATAGAGAGGGGAAGACTTAAGAGCCCCTCGCGTTTTAGCAGAAAATAGAATATAATGACATTATGAAAATCAATGGGAGTGGAAAATTTATAATTGGTGGAGCTAATACTCATATAAGCATGTTCCACTTTGTTCGCTTTTCTTGAAATCAATAATCATTACGGAATGAGTCGGCCCAACATCATATTTACGCCTACAATTTCACGCCTTCATATCAATGAGGAGCATTGGTCCGTCTAACTATTATAATCTAACCCTAACCCGGGCTGATGGGTTGCATCAAAAAAGGAAAATGGCGTTGGAATTGCCAAATCAGCAACGTCGCAAGCTCGATATTAGAAAAAGGCTCTTGTTCGTACATGGATGTTTTTCCGTTGTTAAGTTCTATTAAAATCATTTGTTTTGTACGAATAATAAAAGCAAATATGAGTATAAGCATCTAAATTATCAATCCAATCTCAAAATATCAGTCTACCCAACAATTTTTAATCAAACTTCACCCCCCCCCCCCAAAAAAACCCGATTTTTAATCTTGTACTACGTCATTGCAAATCAACCATGCGAATCATCTCAAACTTCTTTATTTCATCAAAAATGAAAGATACAACTAATAAAGAAGGTAAAGATATTAGATATGGCAAAAAGGAAGAAGCTGAAGTGCATATGAGTGGAAAATTTTACTATTTAAATTATATTTTCATTCGACAGAACTTTAAAAAGACAGAGCGTTTTATAAAACAGCTTAAGCATAACTCTTTTCATTCTCAAGATAGTCAAGTTTGCCTAATGAGTCGCTGCAAAGTTTTAAACATTGTTTAGTTTCCATGCAACTTTTGGTTGCAATGATCAAGAAATTTCTTATACCACAAACTTTTCACAATGAAGGAGGATCTGCTCGGTTGAACGAACATATAGCAAATATACCTGCTCTTTTAAATTCTTAGTATGCACTGTGACGTCACAAGTTGTGTAAAACATTCATTAGATAAACTACATATGTTGACAATAAAAAGTGTTGTGAATAAACTGTTTTAAATAGTATTATGCCTTTTTGACAAATGTGCTCAATGAAAATATAATCTAAACAGCACATTTTTTTGGTCATATGCCAAAGTACTGTATTTCAATAAACTGAATAGCATTCAGATAATTGATGCTAAAATAACTTGCATTCAGTTACCTGTCCAAAACAACAGTGTTGAACATTAGCGAATCTTTTACTATTTTTGCCGTAAGATAGTTTCCTAAGCTGTAAAATGCTCTGCACAAGGGTTGGCATTGCTTCACCATAATTTGTCTGTATTCATTTATTGCTTGCGGTGGTGTAACGACCAGCTGTGCATTTTTTATACGTCGTGCAAGATTCGTCACAAGCGTCGTTTTACCTTAATACGATCGAATTATCCTTGTTAATATATCATCAAACATTGTTTTACAATTTAGGAAGCTAATCTATTTAACGTGAGAATTCCAATAATGAATGGTAGAGTTATCAAATTTGTTATACATTTCAACTTAATATTAATTCCACTTGAATTCTATAGGCTGTTATTCAAGTTAAAGTGGCAAACAGTCGTTAATCAATTTTTAACAATTCAATCAATTTCAAGTGGGATGTTTTTCACGTGTTTTTTTCAGGATGAACCTAAGCAAAACAGACTTCAGGGGAGTAGGGGAAGAGTAGCAAAAATTTCGATATGTTTTTATGGATATTACAAATTTAACTATAGAAGGACTAGCTAAATAAGCAAACTGCGTACGCTATTTACTGATAAAACAATGTGAAAAAATGCTTTGAAAGTTACACAAGCAAAAAGATCATTTGCAAGTTGTGACGTTAAAATAATGCTAAAGTAACAATTCGGATTTTTCATGCTGAATCACACACATCACAACGTCATTATGTACTGTATTTTGTTATATTAACTACGTAATGCTTTGTAAATTTTCCATTGCGTCATAGCTTCCAGACATTGTACAAGCAGCAGACAGCTATGATAGAGAGATTGATATTGAGACAGAAGTTGGGACACAAAGGTATTGTGTGATATACAAGAAAAAACGAACGCTCGAACTAGATAATTTTTGGCGTTGACAGATAAGTTTAAATTATCCTATTTTTTCTTTCTATTAGCTTTCTTCATTTAGTAAATAATATAAAAATAATTAAAGTCTTTTGTTCCTTAAGTATTTTTTGTTACCAGCAAGTCTCCCTCGTAACGATGGGAAATGTTCAACCGCTACTTTTTCTATATGCAATGTACCACTAGATTCTATAGTAAGGCGTTCATTTAATAGAGCCCTTATTGTTTAAATTAAAAAGCTTTAACTAATCTTTATTCTTCAACTGAAATGTAAGTAAGCATTTACTTGGATTTATCTTTTGTGTGCACGCTGTGACTATGTTAACATTAGCACAGTTTTAGATTAGTATGAAACATTTGATAATTAATATACGTTTGGCCTTTAATAAGTAGACGAGTTCGTAGCTTTTAAAATAATTGTTTTATATTAGAAAATAACCTTTTGAAAACACTGATTAGTGTAATGCTCTAGAAATATTTTGTTTCTATAACTCTATATACTGCACGAGAACGTCAGTCTCGCAAAAAAACTCACAGGTTTTGTGGTTTTATTGGCTAAAATATAAGCAATATGTCATTAAAATTAATAAATTTATTTTTTAAATGTTGTTTTTAAAAGCCCATTTTATAATAGAAATAGAAAACATATTTACTTGTTTCCATTATGCATTTAATAAAAACGACAAATTTTTTTAAAATAAACATGTTTCAACAACTCATGATGCCATCTTCAGTATAATAAGGAATATTATGTATGTGATGAATATATATATAAGAGAAATATTATACTGTGATACACTTTATACACTAATGAATAGATTATTATATTACAATGAAATAATGGTTAGAATTAATGATGAAAGTATTTACAGGCTCAATATAGTGTTAAAACGAAAAACATGAACGTTGAAATTAGGGTTAGTTTTGTTAATGTGAAGTGCTTCTTTGATTTTGAGTGCGAATGTCGTATCTGCAGTGTCGATGATTTTCCACACTGATAAAATATTACTCTTATATATATTCATCACATACATAATATTGCTTATAATACTGAAAATAGCATCATGAGATGTTGAAACATGTTTATTTTGAAAAAACTTGTCGTTTTTATAAATTTGCGCAATATCAATAGAGCTTTTATGCTGTTTCCAATTAATTATACAAACACTTGCGAATCTTTGGGAGGAACATGAAATCGGCTGGAAACAATTGCACTTCCTGCTTGTGGTTGCCATGCAATTTTTCGCTTGTGTCAAACATTCCCGTAGGTTTCTATAACTTTATAGAAACTAAGAAGATACTTTCTAATTCTTAATTGTTGCACGAGTGTTAACAAAGATCGCCAGTTTACTAACTACCAGAGTAATGTAATAGGAGCCAAGAAAGCCTTATATAAAGACGGCTTTATTTGAACAGGTCTAAACATGCATAATCGAGGGCGCATGCATATTTAGAAAATGCAAGTAAATAATTTGTAAGAACCAACATAAAACAGTCTAGAATTAATAGAATTTTTTTGCAAACCCTGTCCTAGAGTATTTCTTTTCCTATACTTGCTAAACTATATTTCGTGAAAAATTGTATAAATTTATCAGTATAAGTACTAACCAACGCCGTCAAGTCCTTCAACAACAATGAAAGGATTAAGATACGTGCTCGGCTCAGCTATTGCGAAAATATCATTCGAGTGCTCTTTTGATAAATCTTTTAAGATCTTTACTTCTGGAAGAGATAAACTCTGACTAGCTATTTCCAGCGTTTTTTGTACTTCTACAAAACTTTTAAATACTGAGTGTCCAAATTCAAGGGCAGGGTGATAGCCGTCATACTTAACAGGCAGAAGTTGAAATTGATCGATTATTTCTTCTGACATACAAGATATAACATCAACTGAGTAACTAGTCTTGGTAGAATTTGGAACCAACTTCGAAATAAATGGAATCCCATATTCTTTAGCGAATTCAATCACGTTTTTGGTATTATCCTCCACTTCATCGTTGAATTGAACGAGAAAATTACTGCGGAATGGCTTTGTCGTAATAGGATCTGCAGCTAGCAAGAAACCGTTCAAAATGCTGTTCACACTCCACTTTCCTTGAAGACTTCTTTCTAAATGTTCTTCTTTAATCCTGGAGATTACAACATTATCTTCAGAGCCGAAAACGTTACAAATAGTATACAAAATATTATTCAAATAATCTGGAATACGTGTTCCGTTGAAAGCAAACGAACAGAACTTTCCAGTTAAAGACGGCGATGCCAAATATAGTGGTCCATCGTTTATATTGACTCCATGAAGAAAATTTCTCAATGCTATTTGAACAGACATGATATTTGTACCGATCTCATAAACAGTTCTACCATTAATTTTATTTCACTTCAAAATAAACCGGAAATTACCTGAAAGCGACTTTTTTGTGTACACATGAGGTCATCTTAATTAAAGCAGAAACAGAAACTAAAACTAAAGCAGTTCTAAAACAGAAACTAAACAAACTAAGCGTTAAAACATGACAGTCTTAACACTTCCCAAAATATTTTATAGGTTATACTGTACAGTATGTTGGTTCTGCGCTCATCTTCTGAGTTTCAATTTCAATATCTGGCAAGCCTGGGTAAAACAGGCAGCTAATACTCCTAAGAGCGTTAACTATCACTTCACTAGAAGATGCAACTACAAATGTGGATTTTGCTTTCACACCGCAAAAACATCGTTCGTTTTGCCTTTGGATGAAGCGAAGAGAGGCCTTCGCATGTTAAAGAAGTCAGGTAGGTAAATTTTGAGAAACTTGCATTTTAATAACGTAAACAAGATTTAATACATTATGGAAGCTTGATATTTGTTATGACGGCATTATATGTAAAAACATTTATAGCTAATATGGGCTATTTAACATGCACGCTCTCCGTAAAATGACAGAAATATTTTATTAGCGTAGTGTAAGATCATGATTGATAGACAAATTTTGTTTTTTATAAGCTCCATCATATTATTAATATAGATAAGAACTCTCACTAATAATTATGGAAAAAATAGTTAGATTTTCAGCATACGAAGCATCATTACTTGGATACAACTCTTCCAATGATAATAAAGCACTTACAGTTGTTAAAGAAAAGCAAATTTATAAACGTGGGAAATTGCAAGTTATACATATATAATCTAAGTATCTAACCATACCTTATAATTTACAAACCTCGTGTTAAAAAATTTCAATTGTATGAGAATTTCAATGGCAATATTGATCGATGGAAGGCCTTTATTTTTTACAGTGGGCGCTAATCCAACCATGCTGCCTCATCATAAGATTCACCAACTGCTTAAATTACGACTATAGCTTACACACTACAGTATATTTGGATATGTATAATAAACACAAATCATGAATATCAAAATAGCTATAGAGACATATTTAATGTTGACAGTAAAAATGTTGACTTCAAGAGCACATGCGTTCAAGTGTGCAAACTTAGAAATGAAGACTTGCCGAGAACATGCATTAACTTCCTTCTTACTTTTTTATGTTTTCTATGCAAAATAGAGTTTTTCAAACTCGCGACCCGCGACTTTTTACCCGCGACTCGTGACCCGAGACAGTTGGAACTCGGTCAAAAGGTCAAGTTTGAACAGGCACTCTAGTGTTAATTGGTTAAATTTGCGCCTTTTGGACTTTTCAAAAAAGTTGCTTCCTCTGAGAGTAGTGTCTGAGACTAAGTCGCTTCTAAGAAATAAATATTACGTACTTGTCATAGCTAAAATATGTAAAGCATGCAAATGTGTCTAGACATAGTGGATACAGATCGTTTTCACCAGTTTTCACTTATTCCTCATGGATCCACATGACAATTAAGTAAATGCGCCACTCACACATTCATTGCAATAAAGATTTCCCTTGTGCATGCAGTGAATAGTGTCTATTAATTCTCGAGTTGTACTGGTAAATCGCGGTATATTAAGCTGAGTCATGTTTTTAGTAGCGTGGGTAGGCGGCGAATTTTTTTGTTGCTGTGCAATGTTTTCAAAGAAATTGTTCATTAAGTAAATTTCCGAATTTGCTTTTTCAATGAAGGCTTAGAACTGCATATCACCATTCAAAACTAGGCCGTTTTACCATGGTTATTCTTTATACAGAAATACCGTCAAATAAAGAAAAAATGCTCATTAATTACAAATGTTCACATTGTATATCATTTATGCAAATGATTGGGTTTGTTTTTTTATTACGAAACAAAACAAAATATATGCAAATTAAAAAAAGAAACAAAAATTAGTCCTGTCTAAATAATCGTAGCAAAAAATTGCTGGGTTGTCATGTCTGTAAAAATATTTTGATTGTCTTGTATAAACCCACACAAACTAACAAAATTTAACGCTAGACACTGCAAGTCAACGTAAACCTGGGTATATATTGCTAGCTAAATCCTAAGCTCTAAGTCCACGTGTGATGCAAACCGTCAAAATATTCCTATTACTAGGCAAAAGTGATTGACGATGAAAAATACTCCTTGTTGCTGTTGCAGCGAGCGATTATTAAGCGAGCGTGCAAAGTAGCAAACCTGAAGCTTACAGCTGGCAAAATTTTAGATTTTAGCCTAGGAAATGCATTTTGGGTAAAAGTGTGGACACAAAATGCAATGCGCTTTTCATATAAAACGGGCATGATGACTTAATTTATGCAATTACAGCATTACTGCGTCGATCTCCTGGTACGGCAGACAGTGTTATTGATACTTGACTTTCGGTATATGAGCGCATGAAAATAATTTTTTGACAACTTAACTGGTCTCTTTCGTAGTGATAGTTTACGAGTTTTGTTTTGACTATGGCTTGCAGTTTTGGTGCAGCTGTTGCTATGATGTATTATGCTCGTCTAAAATTATTTCAAAATTTATACGTTTGACATAAGTTTGAAGTCATTTAGAAAAGATTCTGGTAAGCTTGTGTTAACTTCCGTCATGTTACTAAAGGTGTGAACATAATCAACATAAGGCTTTCGTCAAAATGTCATCAATGAATATGAACAGCTTTGTTATCGTGCCGGTAGACAAAACCCATCAAATTATGTGTTCTTTGCTGAATCTATACCTCATGACATAGTTGACGCACTGATATATATGGACTAGAAGTTATTATTGCAGGTGGAAGTGCTGCTCCATCCCCCCTTTGTCAGTAAAAACTGCCATGTATAGTCGGACACCCTTAGTCAACGACCTCATTACATTACAAAATATTCCTCGTACAGTACATTAAAGTGATTTCGTGTTCTAGCATTTGTTACAAACTATCTTGGTTAAAATATTTCAAGACAAATCTGGTCAACTTATTACGTTATGATTGCGTGATAAAAGGTTAATGCTTTCCATGTTGACAGCTTTCTTCAATCTAATCAACGTGCTCCAGTGCTGGTAGGAAACGAAGTCATGCGCTTGGAAGCCGACGGACAACTTCCGGCATAATTATCTCCTATGCTTTACATCCAGTGTTTACATCTTATTATCATTTTACAAATTTTTTATATCAATTCATTGCCATTTTGAATTAAAGCAATTTTTGAGGTAACAATCACATCTTAGAAATATAGGTACGCAATGCGTACATGTGGATAGCCTCTTAATGCTTGACAGCAACACAGTTGACGTAAAGTTTGAATAGTTTATAAAGCTGATTGTTAAACCGCTAACTGTTGATGATAAAATAGGTTAATCGGTGCTTGATTTTACTTCATATGCGCTAGTATTGACTAATAAGTTCACACAATAAAACAGTGGAATTTAAAGTTTGCAATTTACGTATAAATAAAATTTTGTATTGCAGCATTTTTAATGACAAAATTTATTCATAGGACTTAGTTTTACAGGGATAATAATAAGCAAAAATACAGAAATGTTGTACACTTAAAAATTAAGAAAAGGACATAGAAAACGAAATGATAAGAAGAAGTAACTCAAGTAAGATTCCATGATTGTGGCTTTTATTGTTTTGAAAGGTTGGGAAGATTCTTAATGAGATTTGCAAATTTTTCATGTTGACGTCCCCTAAAACACAACTTGGGTAGTCAGCTAGTAGTTCATGTAAAAATCAGCATGCTATTTAATGCTTATGTTCAGCAACTTTTGCGATGCTTTAGTTGAATCATGCATCCAATACTATGTCTCAAACAGGTTGCGTATGAACAACATTAATGTTAGCCTTGTTTTGATAGCTTTGTCTTGCATACATCCGTTTCACACTGTTTGACACATGGGCAGAAACAATGTAAAAATATCCATATTAAACGATCCTATGTCAATAAATAAGTAAATGTTCAGGCAGTTACCATGTTATTCCATGTTGCTTCGTTACGTATCGGAATTACTTCAACCTTTCGAGTTGCAACGAAAGGCACTGATAAAGTAGCTTTTTATTTGTCATGTTACAAATGCAAGAAGAACATCAATGACATTCAACTAAAATTTGGTACATTCTCGAACTGTCAGTTCAAACAAGTGATGTACTGGTGGTTTTCATTACTAATAAAAAGCTTGTTATGAGCAAGAAAGGATTTGCTTTGTCTTTACCAAGTTTTACCAACATCTAATTTTGATTTAATATCACAAGCCTAAGCTCAGCAAAGTTTCTACAAGTAAGCATTGGCAAATTTTTTTCTTATTTTTATAGTGACCAGTATGAAGTATACAAATATCTGCCTTAACATTTCTTGTGTTATTTCTACATTGTCATTGGTCATTGAAATTTTGTTTTTGTTTTGAAATTTTAGTTAACTTGTTGCAATTTTTGTAGCATTTTGGTGCTTCTATTAATCGACCTTTTAATACGCTATCCTACAAATGTTGCAAAGCTTCTGCACAGCTTTTGTTATTATTTCAGTGGTATCCTAATGCTCTACATGCATATTGCTAATGTATTTTTTTTACTGTTTTTCGATCGTGCTTACGAGTTGGTCTTCAAAAAATTTTTGCAAGATTCTTATCCGTTTAAATGTCGATAAAAATTTCAACAAAGAAGCACAGATCAGCAACGAGGATACCAAAATCAACAAACACAGCTTACTTGAATTATGAAATATCACTTTATATCAATTTAAAGCTTGATAACGATTTGTCTCACAAAAGAGTCAAATAATTGCGCAAGAACGGGTATTTCGTGGTGGTATTTATCGTTTTGACCTGCCATAGTTAAGCGTAAGATTAGTGTCATTGCTGAATAAATCTACCCATAAGCTAACAGATCTCTACCGTCAATTTTAGAGCAAGTACGCAGCAGCAATTGAATCAATGACAAGTAATAGAACCAATACAATATGCTAATACTGTGTATATAAGTATGAAAATAGGTGCTGCCTTTCTTGTTACTTGTTGCAAAGTATTTGTAGAGAAACAAGAAAACCAATAGTATATTGCATTTCGTCCAACTAAATCAACCTACATATGTATAATGTTCTTGTATATATAGATATTTTATCGACATGTCACTATTGCACATTATGTTGATTCAATATCGGTAGATGTAGTTTTAAATGGTGTCAGGTAGAAAAAAAAACAGGCCTAGTGTCAATTGCCTTGGTGAACATATTGAACACTGTCCTCGAAATCATGACAAATCATTGACACATAAGGATATATACATGCCAACAATCATGATTTATTTTATCTTAGTACACAGCTCATTGTTATATAATAATCAAAAAAAATTTAGTCAGATTTTGGTTTGGTACATTTATTGTATTTCCCAACATCAAGTAGTGTATAATACATGGACGTTGCATGTTGTACTTATATATTGTCCAGATACAATTATAGTGCTAGCACAATTATATTTAGTTGACTAAAACTGCTGCTTTACTTTTATTCTGGTCATTTATTTAAACATGTAGACAGTATGATCTTGTGAACTTTCAAAATTGCCATTTCCACAGGGTCAGAATGACATATATTGCTTTGTGCATCAGTAAGGTCAGATCTTGACGTAGTTACTTCCCATAGATGATAAAAATCACTCAATTATGCTTATGGCCTTGTCTTTCTTAACATTAGTGATGTATGTATTTAATGGAATTAATATGTTGGTCAGTCACTCAAGGTTCATTAATTTTTATTGAAAATAAGCACTCTCCTTAATTATTAAAGCTTGCTACAACACTGCAGCTGTGTCCTTGAAGCTGTTTTCATTGTGCCCCATTGATATATATGTATATAAAATAATCGTGTTTCTCAATTTTTAATGCTTGCCATAACACTGCAACTGTATTCTCAAAGCTCACTAGTTGCTTTGTCAGTGGCGTAGCTAGCGGTCTGGCTGGTCGGGCCCAGCCCGAACCAAATATTTTCCCAAAAATGAAAAATTTGTTTTCTTTAAAATTCGATTTGCGAAAATTTTAAATTCTGCCACTCTTTTTGGAATAATCTACAGTCTATTAGTGTAATATTTGTCAAATTGCGTCTTATTAGCAAAACTATCATATTTTTAAACGATTCCTTAGCAACAATGACTAGTGCATTTCTAGTGCCAGGCATTACGCAGTTTAGCCCGACCAAGTAGTAAAATCTATAGTGGGAATATCTGTAATCTGATTGGTTGAGAGTAGCTGTGAACACACTCAAACGTTTAACAACATCTAGTCGGGCTCATTTTCAAAAGCGTGACTTGAATTTTGAGCTTTCGAAATATACGTTCGGAAATCGATATAATAAGTGAACTATAAAAGAAACCATTTCTGTTCGACAATCAGGCGAGCAAAATATACTCGTAAAGCAGCGGCCAATTCCAAATTTACAAGCGACTACAGGCAATAGAAGCTTTCAGGAAAGTTGGTACTCGAAGAAAGATTGGCTTTGTGGTAGCTCAGAAAAGAATGCATTGTTCTGTTGGTCTTGTCTTTTGTTTTGCCCTGGATCGTAATCTTCATGGACGCAGACGGGATTCAAAAACATGAAGAATTTCCTATTCGATTGTAAGAAGCATGAGAAGGCAAAATCGCACATGGGTGCTTACAAGACCTGGAAGACCAATGGTTTTCAGCCTCGTGTGTCGACTGTCTCATGTCACAAGCTAGACGTGAAGAGATTCAACGTCATAACGAGGAGGTAAGGCAAAACAGGGAAATGTTGAAAACCATAACAGAAGCTGTTTTATACTTGTCTAGGCAAGAGCTTGCATTTAGGGGGCATGATGAATCTAGAGGCAGCATGAATAGAGGAAATTATAGAGAGCTACTTGAAAGTTTTCCCAAGATGGATTCTGTTTTTGAAAGGCGATTTTATGGCAGGCTTGCTGAAACCCACTTTGGGGGGGGAGGGCGGTTTACTGGAGTCTCTCCTGATATTCAGAATGATTTGATTGATTGTCCTGATAAGATAATAGAGGATGAGATTTTAAAGGAAATAGATTGCTGCACTTTCTTAAGTATACAGGTTGATGAGGCAACTGATGTTTCTACCAAAGAACAATTGAGTGTAATTGTTCGAATGGACAAAGGGGAAAGTGTCATTGAAAGACAGCTTGGGTTTGTTGATGTTAGTTGTGATAGGACTGCAACTGCTATATCATCAGTGGTTAAGGGTAAGTTAAGTAAATATAATAATGTGAAGGAGAAATTTATTGGACAGACTTATGATGGTGCATCTGTTATGTCTGGTCATCTCAATGGTGTTCAAGCTCAAGTTCAGCAGGATTATCCTTATGCTCAATTTGTTCACTGTGCTGCCCATAGACTAAATCTAGTATTATGTCAAGCTGCATCCTCCATTTCACCTGTTAAGATTTTCTTTGTTAATATTAGTGCTTTCTGCACCTTTACTAGCAATTCCCCCAAAAGAAAAGCTTTACTATCATCCCATAGACTTGAGTTTCCTAGTCCTGGTGACACAAGATGGTATTATAGGGCTCATGTCATCAATGTCTTGCATTCTAAATATGAGAAACTGATAGACATATTTGAAAATCTTACTGATAATCCCATAGGTTGGGATGATGAAACGTTAAATAAGGTTACTGGTTTACTTGGCTACCTTATGTCTTCTTGTTTTGTTTCTTGGTACTAGTTTTCCAGAGAATTCTTGAGCAATCATCCATACTTTATTCTATCTTGCAAGACAAGGACACTGACTTTCATTATGGAGTGAGTAGGGTTGAGAGATTCAAGGCCTTTGTTGCTTCTCTGAGAAATGATACAGAATATTGTCAGGTGTACGACCTGGCTGTTGAGAAAGTGGGACCACCAGTAACCAGGTATGACCAACGGCATAATTACAAACAAATGTATTTTGAAATTCTTGACACAATTGTGACTATGCTGACTGAGCGATTTCAGGATATGGAGCGTTTTAGATTTTTAGACCTTGTTAACCCTAGGGTGTTTAAGATGTGGAAAGGTGAAGTGCCCTCAGAAAAGATAAATCTTCTAAAGGAGGTTTATGGTGATATGTTTGACATACCAATGCCAGTTAGCCAACTTTGTTTTATTGACAGAGATAAAGACTTTCACCGTGATTCATGCGATGAACTATTCAAATATATTTTTCAGAAGTTGTAAAACTGTTAATGCTTCAGTTGAGAGGTCATTTTCTTGTTTGAAGAGGGTAAAAAATTATCTTAGAAATACTATGAGCCAAGGACGTTTTAGTTCTCTTTGCAGGATTTCCATTCACAAAGACATACTGTCAGAGAAAGAAGACGCCAACACATTGCATGATGAGGTAGTAAAGAAGTTCATTGAAAAACCACGAAGACTTGCTTTCTTATACAAATAGGTATTCATATTTGGCTGATAGCAAGCTGATGATGTCTTACGTCCATGGCATGTGAGAATTTTTCCTGGAACTTTTTAATGCAGGCAATGATGATTGTCATTTCAGCACGACAATGAACGGCATCACAACTTTTGATAGTTGTTGAGGACAAATATCAGCCTTTTTCGGTTCTTTTGTCAAAGTTTCTTTACAAGATGTACATAGTTATCTATTTATGTATGTGGTGTTGAGAAAATAAATCACATATCTGCAACTATTTTCGAAGTGTTTCTCTGCTTTACTATAAGATCCTTCGGCAATTTAAAATAACAAAAATGGTTCTATTTCCTGAATAAATATCACGCATTTGCTTTCTAAGATAGCCGTTTCCGACGTTCTAGGGTGTCTAAATTCGAAAAATTTTCTCCCTCGGCGCCAACCATGGTGGCGCCTCGTGAGCCCGCCCAAATGTTTTTCGCTAGCTACGCCACTGATTATTTCCCATAACATTATGAAAGAAATTATTAGTTGTGAGAGGTGTGCAGCGAAAATCGTTTTCTGTGCACATTTTTTTAGTCTGGTCCACAACCTGAAAAGACTTAATCAAACAAAGAACTTAAAAAACGTACTTGAAATAAATATAATATATTAATCCTAACACGGTTTATAATATGCACATGAAAAACATAAATAACTTTGAGTTAATAGTTATACCTATACGTGTTAGGATTAGTATATTATTTATATTCTCTGATGATGGCTTTGGAATAAAGTCAAAACACAGTGCCATCCAGTAAACTACTATAGTGGCGAGAATCTCTCGTCCCGCTTAGTTTAAAAGTTTAATAGAGATTTGACTCGTCTCCAATCCCTGTGGGCTTGGTAGCTCAACAGGTAAGGCGGCGGGCTGGTAGTAGGGACCTTACGATGCGACAACGGCAACTGCGACGGCACCGGAGTTTGATCCCTTTTTTTAACTGAGCATGCGCACGCACCATCTGTACGTTGTTTACACGTTTTGAAAAGACGGAACCGACGTGAAAACAACAACTTTGGCGTCGCTTCAGAACGGCAGAGAAAAAAAATCAAAAATCTTGCAAAAATCATTCGATTGTCAAATGGCGAGGTGAGTTTTGTTATCTTTGGCTTAATATATGTAAATGAGGTTATGGTTGACTCAGCCTTTATGCTTAAATGGCTACTTATGGCTTAAAATGCTTACATATTTTTCTGAATATCTCTTTGTAGCACTACTGTTGCTTCACGTGCATCTATGAAATGGTCCTCAAGCCATGATATAGCTTTATCACGAGAAATCTTGCTATTTAGACCATGGATTCACAGAAGAGGATCAACTGAAAGAGGCCAAATTTGGGAAAACATTGCTAAATCGCTCAATGCTTTGGAAATGCCAAAATTCCATGTATCTCAGAGATCTGTTCGCGATCGATATCAACTGCTCGAAAAGAAATACAAAAGAAAACAATCAGAAGAAGAAAGAGCCAGTGGTATTTCACCCGAAGAGAGTGAACTTGACGAGGCTATGGAGGACATCATAGCTCAGTTTGAGGAAGCTGATCATTTAAATGAACAACTCACGTTCGAGAAAAAACAGAGAGCTCAGGCAGAAGTTGAAAAGGCTGTAGAAATGCGTCGCTGCTCAATGGAAACGTTCAAAGAAACGAAAAAGAGGAATGACGAGGAAGAAAATAACGAGCCATCTGCTAAAAAGAAGAAAAGGACCAGTGGATCGGATGTCATGCGATACCTGCGAGAAAAAGGCGAAATTGATATAAAAATGAAAGCTGATGAAGTCGAGCTGAGAAGAACGGAAAGTGAACGACATTACGAACTTATGCAGGAAGAACTACGCATTAGAAGGCTTGAAGCTGAACGCCAAAAAGAGCAGAATGAGCAACAAGTTATGCAGTTAACTAATTCCCAAATGATGCAACAACAACAGATGAAACAGCTATTTGAAGTGACTCAAGGTATGATGTTACAGCAGCAGCAGCAAAGTGCTTCTTTTGTAGCTATATTTGAAAAGTTTGCAACAAAATTCAACTAAAAACCGTAACAATCATTGTGTTTTATTTGATTTTTTGTTTGCATATCATTGTTCTGTTGAAAGACAGTGTTTATAAGACATTTAATATTTCTAAACATAAACATAAATAAGAATAATGAAGGATTAGGACTAATTTTTTGGTCTAACTTACATTGTTATTTGTATTGTTTGTATTAAATATTGTTGTTTTTAGTTATTGTTTTGGTCTATTCATTCTGTACTCTGTTAAAACATGTCAAACGTTTATGTAAACATTGCAGCACAATACAGCATTTATAATACCTCTTTTCATTCATTGTCAAAAAAATATTCATCTAAAGCAGGTGGATCAAGCTGAAAATAAGTGGAGGTTGTTGACTGATATAGGCAAGTGCGTGCATTATGAATTAAGGCAGAACAAACATACATTTTCCCCACTGCACTCAAGTGAACTTTAAGATTTTTCTTAAAGTCTACAAATTTAAAATAGTTAACAACATCACCAAACACCCACTCTACTGCCACCCTGACAGAGCTCATAGATTTGTTCCATGCAAGTTGGTCTGCTGTTAGCCCAGCCCCTTTGTATGGAGCTTGAAGATGTGGTCTAAGAGGGTAAGCTGGATCCCCATACACACAAAGTATATCTCCTTCAGGATTCATTGAGTATTGCTGCATTTGATTCAAGATACCAGACATTGCCAGCATGGCACTGTCATGTCGTTTTCCTTCGACTGGGCCATACAAATTAGCAATTAGTCCATTAGGGGCTGCTATAGACTGAAACTTTATGGCGTGTACTCGTTTATGACCGTTGTAAAGTACACGTTGATTTTTTCCTGGTCTAGTCACAGGTCTGACTGTACCATCTATGAACCCCCAGCAGTTTGCCAATGGAGCACCTTGGCTGTGTACTGCATCAGCAAATATTTGTAAATTGGAGGAGAAAGCCAGGGTTGATTTAAAGAAGACAACAAATGTCCCCATCGCTCATATGTGAAGTTGATAACTTCGTTTGTTATCATGCATAGCTGTGGAATGGGTCTTCCAAATGTTGGCACCAGATCTGCAAAGCGGCAAGGATAAGCAAACCTCATCAAAATATACAAAGCGCCTCAATGCCGTCGACTTGAACACCATTATAACAAGTTACCTCTAGAGGTAGCTGCATTACGTCGCGTAGGTGGTATATATCGTTGCGATAAAATCGAAAATTGTTTTGCACTCATCGTCAGAAAACTTGTGAATGGAAAACTTGTCGTACTTTCTGTAACACATATTCGGGTTTTGGTTTATATATTTCGTATAGCAACATGCAGTCATCTACACCAAGAAAACCATCACCATGAGAAAGTAACAGAGCGTCTCTGATGCACGGCATCATGGAAAATATATAAATATGGAAGCTAGCTGTTTAGCGAAAAACTTTTTATCAACATAAAGATTTCCCGCGTTTTTTACGAACGTCGCCTTATCGTAAGGACAAATTAGCTACAACGAGAACGGCAACGGCAACTAGTCGATCCAGTCCCTTCAGAGTAGATTGAGGTTGCCGTCGCAGTTGCTGTTGTCGCATCGTAAGGTCCCTATTCCGAAGGTGCGAGTTCAAATCACGTCCAGTCACATGTTTTTCATGTGTATATTATAAACCGTGTTAGGATTAATATATCATATATATTCTCTGATGATGGCTTTGGAATAAAGTACTTGAAATAAAGAACTGATAACGGAAACTAACTTCATAACGATATTTTTATTGCTGTGCTTAAAAAAAAGGAATAACCCAAACGACTACTGGCTGCTCCACGACAGTTAAGACGACACTCAGCTACAATAGTAAAAAAAAGGTAAATCACGGCAGAAACCCAACGCGTATATATTACCGCAACAAAACAGAAATATTAGGCATCAAATTGCGAAATCAAAGCCAAATTTAAAGATCAGAATGTGGTAGATTTTTGTTATAAAACAATATAAAATATATAAGTATGCTTGAATTTTATTTTTAGGTGAAAGTCGAATTTGTGTTCGAAGCTTTTTAATGACTGTGTTTACAGACTTCAAGGCGGATCCAGCTTAAAATGTGAAAGTGTCCGCTGGAGGTAAGTGGGCATGCTCCCCAGAAAATTTTTAAATTTTTACTCTCTGAAACACGTTTTCCTGCATTTTGAGAGCAAAATACAGAAAAATACTGTCATGACCAAATCGAGTAAAATTATCGAATTTTACGAGCTTTTTTTCTGATTTTGCTAATGCAAACAATCACATCATAGAAAAAAACGTATAACTTTGACAATTTCGCTTAGCTTCTTCCACAAATGCAGCTTGATTGCCTCATTTTTAAAAAATAGAGAGTGCAGCATCAGACAAGCACATAGCAAAGGAATTTTTATATGAAGTAAATGCCCCATCCTCATGCAATAATTTGATATGAGGGTGCTTAGAATAGTATGAAGCATTTTCATATAACTCAATGCTTGTGAACCACCACAGAATGGTAGAAAGATTTTCATTTGCTATCAGGGCAATAGAACAAGCATTGCTACCAAGCCCACAGGGATTGGAGACGAGTCAAATCTCTATTAAACTTTTAAACTAAGCGGGACGAGATTCTCGCCACTATAGCAGTTTACTGGATTGCACCGTGTTTTGACTTTATTCCAAAGCCATCATCAGAGAATATAAATAATATACTAATCCTAACACGTATAGGTATAACTATTAACTCAAAGTTATTTATGTTTTTCATGTGCATATTATAAACCGTGTTAGGATTAATATATTATATTTATTTCAAGTACGTTTTTTAAGTTCTTTGTTTGTTTGATTAAGTCTTTTCATAGTCCAGCTGTTAAGGACAAAAAAAACACCTAACCCTTCACTTTGATGATACAAGTATGAAACTTTCTCACATTCTTACTATGCCTAGTAACACAAAATTTTGATATAGGGCCTGCCCATATTTTACATTTATAACGAGTTCTGCGAATGTTGTGTTTGATGACGTCATCGGTAGTAAAAAAAATAAAGTTCAGAGAAATCTGCAATTTCCCTGTATATTCTTATACAACAGCTAAAGACGATAGAAAAAGTATATTACAACTTTTTCTTTTAGGCAATACTTTCCCAAATATTGTGCATGGAATATTCTGAAAGGTGCTGAGTCAGCACTTTTATATATATATATATATATATATATATATATATATATATATATATAAAGTGTATAACAATGTGCCCTCCCGGCTTTCACCATAGTGCAATGATAAATCGTATCGAAACAATGAAGAACATTCAATTAAGTTTCTTTAAGATTTATTACCTTACTTGTGTTAGCATTCAGAATAACCTAATTGAAAAAACCTATTTGGAAAGAAGATATGTCAAAGGATCATCCTCAGTTTCTGTATTGGACCAGAGTTTTGGAACTAGAATTACTCTGTTTACAACTAGTGCGATCATTTAGAGAAGCTAATTTCACCTTATACTTCCAGTCAATAAAGCAACTTGTCCCTTGGATGTTTGCTTTGGACAATGTTAATTATGCAAGATGGGTTTCTGTCCATATCCATGATATGTCGGAGCTTCCATTCAAACACCCTAACGTCTTTAACCAGTTCTCCAAGGGCTCGTTTGTGGTGCATAAAACGAAGAAACAGTTTTCAGCTATAGCATTAGATCATGCTCACGAGCAGGTTAATGCAGTGGTAAAGGGAGAAGGTGGTGCTGTGGGACTAACCGAAAACCTTTCAGCTTTAAGGAGATGGATGATTGCAGGTCCAGAAATTTCACGAATAATTAGGGAATTCGAGATGAGTACACATGTAGACAGTCAGCTACACCATGAGCAAACTCCATCCATTCAAAGAGAATTTTATAAAGATGTCTCAAATGTCGTCTCCAATTTTCAAGCGATGGGGAATCCTTTTGTAGAAGAGAGCGAAGACCTATTTGCCATCCACACAAATGACGTGATGAACAGTTCCGTTGTTGACACGGTGAAGAATGTTGTAACCCTTGGAGAAGAACAATATCAAGCATTTGTTAAAGAAAGATTTGTTGAGAGAAGCAAGAGTATTACTGAAACGTTGAAAAAAAATAATCTGCCAACGTTTAAAACAGGAAGAACAAGAGTTTCGTCAAAAGATAAAGTAAATATACAAACTCTGAAACTAGACTGTGCTTTATTTTCAAGATTGTATATAGCAGGGGCGGATCTAGAGTATGTCAAATCCGTCGCGCGACTGATGTTTGAAATTCAAGAATTACCTATTCATATTAATTAAAAATTCGTCAATTATTCTTACTTTATTATCGCATTTACTTCGTGATAAAAATCCAGCTTTATTTATTATTGAAAACTAATGACTAATCCAATGAATATCTCGTTGGTAACCAGATCAGTTGAATTTTAATTGACCTGGAATAACCGACTGATAAGCGGGGTGGCTTGACTGGTTCGACTTATAAAGGAGTCTATGAACGCCAGAAACGCTATTTTATTGGTCAATGGCCAGATCAGTGGACAGTCTGGAATAATCTCGACCGATAATAGGGGTGGCCGGACCTATAAGGGAGTCCAATTGCTATCTTACAATTGGTTCATTTGAATTTTTGTCTTACTGTGATTGGTTTGACCGATTTCGACTGATAGCCAACTGAACTAACATAGTCAAGATCAATGTCTGAATTGAATGTTTGATCGTTCATAGTAATTTTCTGAAGCATGATAGAAACTAAACTACAATCAGATGGAATTTATGGAAATCTTTTACAAATTCATATGTTGACATGAATGCTGCTTTCCAAACTGGGAATTTTTTCAAGAGGGTGAAAAATTTATGGATGAATTGTAAATGCTTGGCAAAGACTATCTCGCGAGCGACATTTCAGTCATTGATGTTCAAAAGAAAGCCAACATTGTTTTGAGTTTTATCAGCAGAAATTTACATCGAAAATCGTAAGTAAAGGACAAGTGAAATTTATGCATGAATGCAATATATCAAAGTCAATTTATGCGAGTGTGTGATGCGATTTATGTTAATATGGCGTATGGTAAGCAGATTGATGCTTCTAAAATTGTTGTTGCCGAAGGACTTTTAGCTATGATTTCTTTAATGCTTGGGGAATCGTGGCCGTTATATCGGCCATTGACCAATAAAATCGCGAAATCCTACATTTCTGCAAATATATTTCAATGGACAAAAAATCTGTAGCCATAAGGTGCCATACTATTATTTACTTTATCATAAACAAATGTTTGGGGCTTTTCAGTTTATGATCATTGATCATTCAATCATTGGACAGTTATACTACATATTGTTTAAGATTTGAGAAAACTAACATTGATTACATGAGAAGCTGTTTACTATAGCCTGTGATTTTGAGTCTCATGATCCATGAAGCTTTTTATTTTGACAATTTGACTGGAATGGTATTAAACCTGAGTATTTCACATACATGAAATGTTGTCCCATGTCACATATTGTCCCCTTTTCTAACTGAACACCTCATGTAGAGATGTAGAGGTGTGTTAATCTACGGCTCATACCAGATTGTTGCCATAAATTCCAAAGGGCTATTGATGTATGAAAAGCATTTTCTATAAAGTAAAAATGTCTTCCTATGTATGCAGATAAACCTTGAAATTTGGCAAAACAGCAAAGTATTTTTCATGATCACTAGGTAATTTTTCAGATGATCATTATAATTTCTAAACTAAATTATTTTAGATTTACATTTAAACAAGCTTTGATCATATGAAAAGTTATTTATCACAACCAGTAAGCATGACACATAAACCATTTTTAACATTCATGTAATTATATAATTAAAGACATGTTGGTTACATTCTGTTTGTATTTGATAATACAATGCCACTAGTGATTGCTATATAGCACACCTTGCAGAAGATAATAGTCTAGTGAAATGCCTAATAAACATTTATGGCATTAAGCTAACCTTAACTGCAAATTTTCACTCTGATAATTTTTGGTTAATCTTTGGCAGGAAAAAATTTTGAGTTTTTCTCCAAGGGTGAATTTGCTGGCACTGATGTGGAGATGGGTAAAGAGTTACAATAAACTTGCATGGTTTGAAGTCTGAGCTTTTCTATATCTATGAACTGTCACTTGTAGTACCAAATTTCTAACTTAACTTATTACATAGAGGTTTGAATGGGGGTCTCTTGGGGGGTCTATGCTTGACAACTTGGTAGAAATTTTAAAGAATATATCTGTTTTTGAATAGCATTATTGTAAAATAAATTTACGTTCCTAGACATGCTAATGAGCCATATATTTGGCATGATAATGAGCCTAATAATTTGGCAAAACATTCAAGTATTGTTCACTTTATTTTTTTTTTTTTGAAAAAAACGTAAGAAAAATGTGTTGTTTTTACGCAAAAACGATGCCCACAAAATACATTTTGTATTGCTCTAAAACGCTGAAAATTGCATTTTCAAGACTCTGAAATTCAAAATTTCTCAGGGGAGAATGCCTCAGACCCCCCCAGGTGCGGAGCGCCTCCGACGTTTTATGACTGATGTTTGAAAAATCCTAGATCCGCCCCTGGTATATAGCCAGTCAAAATCGAAGTGGTGATCTTGATGATTTCTTTAAATATGAGAACCAACCATGGCCACCATCTCTCTCACAAGCAGGAAGTTTGCGTACTGGTAATAAAGCAGACTTGACAAAGTGTATCGAGCCCATTACCAAAGTTCAGTCACCAACTCCCGATGTTATTATTTTAGACGGGGCTGTTGTTGTTCAAATGATTTCACCTGGAACTTGGGAAACGTTCGAAGAGTACGCTCAGTTTGCTTTCATTCCTTATGTGTTAAAGCAATTTCAATCAGCTAAAAGAATTGATTTAGTGTGGGATGTATACAAAGAGGATTCGCTGAAAAAAAACGCACGGGAGAAGAGAGGCTTTGGTCAACGCCGCAAGGTTTCATCGACAGCACGTATCCCTACTGACTGGAAGGGCTTCCTGCGCGTAGATGCCAACAAAATGGATCTATTCAATTTCTTAGCGCAGAAAGTTATTTCCCAGCAGATTCAAGAAGGAAGAGAAATTTACAGTACATTTGAAGAAAAGGTCTTGTGCTTCCCTAAAAGAACCGAAGTATCAATGTTGGAACCATGTAATCATGAAGAGGCTGACACACGATTGATGGTGCACGTGTTAGATGCAAGTGACTGCGGCCACCAGAGGATTGTTCGTCCTTGCAGGTAATTCAGAAACCGCCAAAGGCATGTATTATCTATCAAATAAGGTCTCTATTATGATTCATATAATGTTTTGCAGGTGATTGAGCGATATGTGGTCCTCTTATACGATCGTGCAAGTAATCTCACCAGAGTCAATGAGGCTAGACAAGAGTTGTTTGCCAAAAAGTCCAGAACACTGGATAACATTCCACCAACCCAAGAAGCGTTGCTCCAGCACACTAAGCGTGCATTGTTGCAAGGTGGATTTTTCTGGGGGCAGTGCTGCTTGAAAGAGCAGGTTATACCAACTCCGTCAGGTTGGGACTGGTACCGTGATGAAAATTCTTGGTTACCAAAGTGGACAAATCTCCCTCAAGTTAAAGATGCCTGTTATGAACTTATTCGTTGAGGATGCAAAGGTTCATGTTCTAGTCGTTGTAAATGCGTCAAAGCACACTTAGTTTGTACTCGTTTGTGTAATTGTGGGGGTGATTGTCAATAACATGAGGGCAGTAAAATTATTTTAATATTACTGTTCTTCGTTAGGCGCTTTTCCAATGTATTTAAGAAAGAGCAACAGCACTAAACAAAAGTGCTGAGTCAGCACTTTTAAAACACTTTTAATGTAGAATATTTCAGAATGTATTGCTCAAAAGCAAAAGTTGTAATATAGTTTTTTTATCGTCTTTAGCTGTTGTACAAGAATATACAGGGAAATTGCAGATTTCTCTGAACTTTATTTTTTTTACTACCGATGACGTCATCAAACACGACATTCGCAGAACTCGTTATAAATGTAAAATATGGGCTGGCCCTATATCAAAATTTTGTGTTGCTAGGCATAGTAAGAATGTGAGAAAGTTTCATACTTGTATCATCAAAGTGAAGAATTTTGTCATTAACAGCTGGACTATCAGGTTGTGGACCAGACTAAAAAAATGTGCACAGAAAATGATTTTCGCTGCACACCTCTCACAACTAATAATTTCTTTCATAATGTTATGGGAAATAATCAGTGGCGTAGCTAGCGAAAAACATTTGGGCGGGCTCACGAGGCGCCACCATGGTTGGCGCCGAGGGAGAAAATTTTTCGAATTTAGACTCCCTAGAACGTCGGAAACGGCTATCTTAGAAAGCAAATGCGTGATATTTATTCAGGAAATAGAACCATTTTTGTTATTTTAAATTGCCGAAGGATCTTATAGTAAAGCAGAGAAACACTTCGAAAATAGTTGCAGATATGTGATTTATTTTCTCAACACCACATACATAAATAGATAACTAGGAAGTTTTGTTTATTTGAATCCCCCCTAAGTACAGTGCTCGATGCTTAAGAGCAGAGCGTAAATATTGATGAGAAGAAAATACACAAAAACTACAATTTCATCCCGACAAGCCTGTTTCGTGATTTCTCACTATTAATGATTTAATATTATCCCCTGAAGAGTGAGAAATCACGAAACAGGCTTGTCGGGATGAAATTGTAGTTTTTGTGTATTTTCTTCTTCTCATCAATAAATAGATAACTATGTACATCTTGTAAAGAAACTTTGACAAAAGAACCGAAAAAGGCTGATATTTGTCCTCAACAACTATCAAAAGTTGTGATGCCGTTCATTGTCGTGCTGAAATGACAATCATCATTGCCTGCATTAAAAAGTTCCAGGAAAAATTCTCACATGCCATGGACGTAAGACATCATCAGCTTGCTATCAGCCATATATGAATACCTATTTGTATAAGAAAGCAAGTCTTCGTGGTTTTTCAATGAACTTCTTTACTACCTCATCATGCAATGTGTTGGCGTCTTCTTTCTCTGACAGTATGTCTTTGTGAATGGAAATCCTGCAAAGAGAACTAAAACGTCCTTGGCTCATAGTATTTCTAAGATAATTTTTTACCCTCTTCAAACAAGAAAATGACCTCTCAACTGAAGCATTAACAGTTTTACAACTTCTGAAAAATATATTTGAATAGTTCATCGCATGAATCACGGTGAAAGTCTTTATCTCTGTCAATAAAACAAAGTTGGCTAACTGGCATTGGTATGTCAAACATATCACCATAAACCTCCTTTAGAAGATTTATCTTTTCTGAGGGCACTTCACCTTTCCACATCTTAAACACCCTAGGGTTAACAAGGTCTAAAAATCTAAAACGCTCCATATCCTGAAATCGCTCAGTCAGCATAGTCACAATTGTGTCAAGAATTTCAAAATACATTTGTTTGTAATTATGCCGTTGGTCATACCTGGTTACTGGTGGTCCCACTTTCTCAACAGCCAGGTCGTACACCTGACAATATTCTGTATCATTTCTCAGAGAAGCAACAAAGGCCTTGAATCTCTCAACCCTACTCACTCCATAATGAAAGTCAGTGTCCTTGTCTTGCAAGATAGAATAAAGTATGGATGATTGCTCAAGAATTCTCTGGAAAACTAGTACCAAGAAACAAAACAAGAAGACATAAGGTAGCCAAGTAAACCAGTAACCTTATTTAACGTTTCATCATCCCAACCTATGGGATTATCAGTAAGATTTTCAAATATGTCTATCAGTTTCTCATATTTAGAATGCAAGACATTGATGACATGAGCCCTATAATACCATCTTGTGTCACCAGGACTAGGAAACTCAAGTCTATGGGATGATAGTAAAGCTTTTCTTTTGGGGGAATTGCTAGTAAAGGTGCAGAAAGCACTAATATTAACAAAGAAAATCTTAACAGGTGAAATGGAGGATGCAGCTTGACATAATACTAGATTTAGTCTATGGGCAGCACAGTGAACAAATTGAGCATAAGGATAATCCTGCTGAACTTGAGCTTGAACACCATTGAGATGACCAGACATAACAGATGCACCATCATAAGTCTGTCCAATAAATTTCTCCTTCACATTATTATATTTACTTAACTTACCCTTAACCACTGATGATATAGCAGTTGCAGTCCTATCACAACTAACATCAACAAACCCAAGCTGTCTTTCAATGACACTTTCCCCTTTGTCCATTCGAACAATTACACTCAATTGTTCTTTGGTAGAAACATCAGTTGCCTCATCAACCTGTATACTTAAGAAAGTGCAGCAATCTATTTCCTTTAAAATCTCATCCTCTATTATCTTATCAGGACAATCAATCAAATCATTCTGAATAACAGGAGAGACTCCAGTAAACCGCCCTCCCCCCGCAAAGTGGGTTTCAGCAAGCCTGCCATAAAATCGCCTTTCAAAAACAGAATCCATCTTGGGAAAACTTTCAAGTAGCTCTCTATAATTTCCTCTATTCATGCTGCCTCTAGATTCATCATGCCCCCTAAATGCAAGCTCTTGCCTAGACAAGTATAAAACAGCTTCTGTTATGGTTTTCAACATTTCCCTGTTTTGCCTTACCTCCTCGTTATGACGTTGAATCTCTTCACGTCTAGCTTGTGACATGAGACAGTCGACACACGAGGCTGAAAACCATTGGTCTTCCAGGTCTTGTAAGCACCCATGTGCGATTTCAGGGGCGAATCCAGCTTCTGGGCTGACCGTGGCCCTGTGACGTAGCAAGCGCCTTCGGCGCGAGGCAACGCTAGGGGGGTCTGGGGGCAACGCTAGGGGGGTCTATAATCTCATCTAAAAAAAATTCTAATATCGCCATTTTCTTAATTCTGTTCGGATAGAAAAATAAAAATTTTACTTACCTTGTGGTGTCTGATGTAAAATCAACGCAGTTTCCGTACCTTTCTGTAATCACAGAATTGTTGCCGCAGGAGTGAGAGAAAGATGAAGCATGTTATTTTTGCAGTGAATAACCAAAAGACAGTTCACTACAAAATATAATTCCCCATCATTGTTGCCCCATCAAATGGTCTTTTCGAAAGCAGCAAGGATGCTTTTGCTAACAGCCATAAAGATGGCAAGACTAATAAAAGCAATGTTCAAAGGTGGTCTTCTTCCAACAACAGCAAAGATGTTTATCCAACAACCGTAAAGATTGCAAGATTAATAAAAGCAATGTTCAAAGGTGATTTTCTTCCAACAGCAGCAAAGATGTTTATCCAACAATCATAAAGATGGCAAGATTAATAAAAGCAATGTTCAAAGGTGATCTTCTTCCAACAGCAGCAAAGATGTTTATCCAATAATCGTAAAGATTGCAAGATTAATAAAAGCAATGTTCAAAGGTGATCTTCTTCCAACAACAGCAAAGATGTTTATCCAACAATCGTAAAGATTGCAAGATTAATAAAAGCAATGTTCAAAGGTGATCTTCTTCCAACAGCAGCAAAGATGTTTATCCAACAATCGTTGTGCTGGGACTCGATGACAGGATGGGTAGAATAGTATTTTGCATTTTCAAACATTTCAACACTAGTTAGGAATCTCAAGTAAATAGAGAGAGTCTCATTCCCAACTAATGCAATAGAACATGCATTGAACAGACAATTCCCATTGGCTAAAGTACTAAAAGAAAATTAGTATTTAAGTATCAATGGCTGCTTTGTTATACCAAGCTATACCTGGAAACAAATCTGCTAGACTGACTCTGACATTAGAATAAATAAGGGTAACCAATACAGTTAAAGATAGACTAATAATATTGAAATTGAGAAAGTTATTTTCTCTTTGTGTTAATTTGGTAACATCATGATAAAGTCAAAGTCACAGGCAGGTAGTCTAAGATTTGGAACTAGTCTAGGCATGTCGAACAGGATTCAGACGACTTATTGATTCCATCTACTATAGCATCAATATTCTATATAACCCGTGAAAGAAAGTAACAGTTATTCAAAATGATATGTTAGTTTCTTTAACCAGGGGATAACATAAAATGCCAGGAATACAAGGATAATACATTATTGATTGGGTTAAATTTTAAATAGGACTAGCTTTGACTAATATTGAAGTAAAACATTTTTTTTTAACAGACAGTAACAATTAAAATTATTTAGGCCGTACATTAGACAGACTGAGTATGCAAAATAATGACAGCTTTAGACATATATTTTACATGATACACTAAATATGAATAGCTGAAAATTAACGGTTGATCATATATTTCAGGCCAAGATGTCAAACGTAAATAAAAATATAAATTAATACCCCAATACATGTAAATTCTTACCTAACAGGGACATTGGGGCCTGATCTTTCAATTTGGCTTTCAGGGAACTGCATTTTTGAAAATAAACAAGTTCGTAGCATAATATCGCCAGTAGAATTTATACGACGAAGCCTTTCCTCGTTGATTATTTTACCACAGTGTTGTCTCAAGTTAGACAATTCACCAGAAATAATTTCGCAAGCGTTCTCTTTCTGAAAGGTTTGGACGAGCTTTTCAAGAACATCGATCTTTTTAGAAGTTTCCATTGATCCTAATCGCTGAGTAGAACTAGAAGTAGCGTTTTTTTAAGTCGACAAGAACCGAGCTATTGCATATGACTTGTATTTATTGCGCAATCAAAATACATTCACCGTGGCTCACCGTGGCGCACATGACCAAAACGTTCCCTGTGATTGGCTTGCAACGCTGCACCGTGGCTGAAGGTTACTATATTTAGCAACTATTGCGGAATTTTCTGAACGCTGACCGTGGCTCTTCATTCTGAGATTGCAGGTTCGAATTTACGAACATATTCCGAGCATATTCATGGCGTATTCGGCAAGATTCGAGACGCTTTCGGTGATTTTACAGTTCAGAGTTTAACTGGATGATAATACTATTTTAACAAGACGTTTAATTTGAAGTTTTTGTTCTGTTAACACAAATTTTTGACAAAAAAATTACAAAATTCATTCAATTTTTGCTTTTGATCGAATTTTGCTGTATTTGAGCAAAATTTTTAATCATGAAAAAGTCAACCATGGAAAAACTTAAGTGGCAGAATTCTGACCGTGGCTCAAGCCACTTTCGCCATGGCCTAGATCCGCCCCTGTTATTTGAGCAATTTCTCTATGCTCTGACTTTGCAAATTCACAAAACCTTTGAAATGAAAACGAATAATTTAGCCTTATTTGAAAATTACGACTGAAATGACTTATGACGCTTCAGAAAAGGTTGTAAGTTTTGCGCTTAAAGCTTTTACTTCTTTCAATTACTCAAAATCATTTCACGCCTCGTTGAATCCCGGTTCCGGGCTTATGCGAAAATATGGTCTATCTTTTCGTGAAAGAAACTTCCCAAAGATGCGTACCCACGATAAACTTTAATTGTTTATTCCTACAGCTGAGCTTGCTACAAATTAAAGATGTCATGCTATACAAAGCTAGTAAATTTGTGTAAATTATTTTTCGTTGTCATGGAGACAACAATAAGTGAATAAATATTGCAAATTTGTGATTATATATATTTTATTCTTGGTCCTGTGTATAGAATGCCTTAAAAGTTAAGCATTTGTTTCTACAGGAATGGAGAAAATAAATTTTTCTGGTGGAGAGCCATTTATTGAAGGCCGTCAAGGAAGTTTCCTTGGTGAAATGGTCCGTTATTGCAAAGAAGAACTCAACTTGAGTGTCAGCATTGTGTCAAATGGAAGTCTGATAAAAGAAAATTGGTTTAAAAGCTATGGTAATACTACTATAAACGCTAAACTTTTTTCGCATTTTAATTTAAATCTGCGGAACGATCAAAGCAAAAATCTTCCAACATGCTGAATACAATTTGCCCTTTTATTCTTACATTTGTACTGGCTAAAGATTTTGAGTTACAGTACGTTTTAAAAAACGTACTTTGGAGGAGTTTTAACCTGTTGCGTTAGTTTTTAGATGCAATTTCTGCACATCCCCATCAAAGAAACTTATATGAAAGATATTACCGTAACTGCGTAAAAGCACTACTGATATTGCGCATTTAATAAATACGACAAGTTTTTTTTAAAATAAACATGTTTCAACATCTCATGATGAAGCTCTACCGATATCCTGAAAATATTTGAAAGCATCCACCAAACTATCAAACACAGTATTCGCAATCAAGAAGACTACACACATCTCAAAACGGAACTTGCACACATTGCTCACTCATATATATCATGTCATAACCTTACACCAGCTGATTTTAGAAAGCATCGTATCCTTAAAAACATTTGCAACAATCCCAATATTATCTCTACCAAATCGGACAAACAAAATGGCATTGTAATCCTAGATCGTCTAACATGTCGAAATTCCTGTCTTCAAATAATAAACATACCAAAATTCACACCGCTTGATGAAGATCCTACACTATCCCGAGAAGCTAAATTACGACTGCTAAGAAAATTGAGAAAGAAGGGTTCGATTGACAACGAAGTATACAATTACATCTTCCCAAAAGGCTCTCAACCATTCAGTGTTTATGCCTTACCCAAATTACACAAGAAACGTAAAGCAGGACAACCGCCTCCACTACGACCAAAAATCTCATCAACAAACGCTTACAATTATAATCTAGCTAAGTATTTCAGTTCCATACTAACACCACTCATACCAGTTGACCACTCCACTAAAAATTCTTTTTCTTCCTCGATGAATTCTCATCTTTCAACTCATCAACTTCATGTCAAAAATTTCTTCATCTCCTACGACGTCGAAAGCCTATTTACTAACATACCGCTTACTGAAACGATTGATCTAGCCATTGACACTATTTTTACTGACAAGCCTAAGTTCACCATGACCAAGACAGACCTAACATAACTATTTTTAATGGCAACGGCACGAAAACATTTCTTATTTATGGAAAATTTTATGACCAGACCGACGGTGTTGCGATGGGTTCTCCCCTAGCACCTATACTTGCAAACAATTTTATGGGCTCACGTGAACGAAACTGGATTACTAACTACAATGACACAAAACCATTTTCCTACGGCGGATACGTTGACGATATTTTTTGTGTTTTTACAAACGAGACTGAGGTTATGAACTTTTTTAGTTACATCGACAAACAACACACGAACATTAAATTTTCTTTCGAAACTGAAAAACAAAACCAACTACCTTTTCTACACATTTTATTAACAAAATCACATGACACCTATATAACGTCGACGTATCATAAACCAACCTACACGGGACTATTGAGGAACTACTTCAGTTTTACACCACTTTCATACAAGGCTGGATTAATACGCACACTTATAGACGGAGCACACAAAATTAACAACACCGACAATGGCTTTCAACAAGGCCTAAAAAATGAAAGAGTTCATTAGTATTCACAAAGAAAAGTAACTGTTTGAAACCCACGGTTTAAATGGAGTGAATTTACTAGCAGTTTATTGTGCCGTATGTTGTTAAATGCTTTTATTCGACTTTCAACTTTTTGTCCTTAACCCTGATTTTGTGCTTACCCTCATAACTTCAAACTCTTACTATTTTATCTGCATTATTTCTTTTCATACCACGTGACTTATTACCAACACCACATCATTTTAATCCTCATCTCTTGCTATTTTTTTGTCGCTTTTCTCATTAGCCTTCTCACTTAACTTAATTTCATTTCAGCACTTCCAATTTAAACAATTTAAATCTCGTTCACACTACACCGTTACAAATCTCTACCGGTAGAGCTTCATACCATTTTGCACTGTTCACACCATGCCTTTAGAATTTCATTTCATTTGCTGTTGTGCTCACACTACCCCTGATTTATGCCTGCTTACTGTTTATTTCAGTAAGATTTATTTGAAGTTTTCTCATTTTTGCTGATCATATTTATCGCTGTGACGATTGCGTTGAATATTTTATCGAGTCACTTTTGGAAGAGCATAATGTTTGGCCAAACCGTTATGAAATTCTTACCGTTTGTTGTTCACACGTAACGAAAACGGAAACTGTTACGAATAGTGTTACCACAAAACTTTACCTAAACAACTGGACTTTATTGTCTTTACTTAACTTTTGCACTCAATTTTTGAGGTTTTATATCTTCAATATTCCACTAATCTACACCATTAGCTACCACTTGACTTTGTGCACTCGACAATCTAAAGAACTAAGTTAATCATCTTTCGCTTTTCTAGTGTAAGGAATGTTTCTACTTTGAATTTTGACTTTGGTAGGGAAGTATTTGGATATTCTTGCCATATCCTGCGATAGTTTTGATGAGAAAGTCAATGTTAAAATTGGCCGTCATCATCGAAAAAAGCGACACCTTGATATCTTGAGACAGGTTCGTGATTGGTGTACTCAATTCAAAGTAGCCTTTAAGATCAACACTGTTGTGAACACCTACAATAAGCATGAAGATATGTCAGAGGCAATTTCCCAGCTGAATCCAATACGATGGAAGGTCAGTGTCAATTAATGATTTGTAATTTACACTGGACAACGCTTCTCATGTAAAACCTGAAGAAGGGAGCTGCGTCGTTTTCTTACAATTTATATGTGTTTCACATAGGTAATAAGACGGCTTGAAGAGCAATTACAGATAAGCATGCATAACTGAGTTTTTATAAAATCTGCAACAAACAATATTTGTAGTCTTTATAAATCTCGCGCAAGTGCATGCTTAGCCGTAGTTGCAGGAGAGACTTTGCTATTACTAAGCCCTTAATAACCGAGCTCGAGATCTTTACGGTGAAATATCGGACCGAAGTTTTTTTGTACAAAAAGACAGAGGTCCGAGATTTCTCAGTAAAGACTGAGAAAGCGAGGTTATTAAAAGGTTTATTGTATGGCATTATTTGACCTGAAATGAAGCTTGCTTTCTTTTTCGTCCTTGCTGTTTTTTACATGTTGGCTTTTACTTTTCTAGTTTTCGTCCATGAAATATTAATCGTTTCGAATTGTATCGTCAGCATAGTTAAACTGTTTTCCAAATGTTTTCTTTCCACTGTTTTCTTCGAATCACACTCGTAAATGGGTTTTTTTTTTCGTTTTTTTTTTGCGTTATGCTATTTGCTTTACGAAGTTTGCTTACATTAGGCTTTGAAATTACGCGTTTTGGACCGTGTTCGATTACGGGAAAATAATGGACCGGCAAAAATGTTTCTGAGCCAATCAAAGCGCGCCATTTTACAGTAAGTGACGCTTGCCATATAATAATATTTTTTGACTGTACCGTGTAACTCTGTCTTGCTTAGTTACTCCCTATCGCTTAAGATTAGCCTTGCTATGCCGTCCAACTTTTTAAACATCCAACAAACAGTTCTTGCCGTTTTCGTTTTATTATAATATTCTTTGCATTGCTTTGTAATTCTTAAACTTCAAGCGATTGCAATTGTGGAAATCTTTGTTAACTTACACCTGCTGATATGTTTTTGTTTTTTTCGTTTTGAATTGAAAAGTAGTTTGTTTGGCTATGACTGCTTTTCAGTGCAATTTCTTTAAAAATGCAATTACTGATCAGCTGCACAGCAATCAAACAATCACAGTCGAGAAATATCTTAAAGTATATTATTAAATGTTTAAAGTCACTCGAAATGACTTGTTTTCTTTATCACAAAATGTTTAGTGTAAATAGAGGTAAAATTTAGTAGAGTTGTCATTAGTGTTGTTTTTTGAACAAAACGTTGTGTTATTCAAAATGCTGGTAACTATTCGAGCTCTTTCTTGATCATTCTTGAAATTATAATGAACAAATCAATGTGCAGATAAATTTATGAGAAAATCGTATCTATTCTTTGTTTACATGTTTTACTTTCAATTAATAGCACATTTTCTCTAATTTTAATGTGCGTTTGGTCTTTGTTCTATATTTTATCCGTGTATGCGTCATACAGTTCAAATTACTAATCAGTCTAATCAGTGCATGAGAAAAATAAATATAATGACTTTTTCTTTCAGATTCTGTTGTTTTTTTAACAACCTTCCATGCTTTTTGACTGGTAAACATTCTCTCATAAAAAAGTTTTGAATATTTTTTACACTTGTAGGTCTTTCAGTGTCTTTTAATTGTTGGTGAAAATTATGGGAATGAAGCTTTAAGAAATGCTAAAGAATATGTTGTTTCGGACAAGGAGTTTGAGTCATTTATATCGCGCCATAAAAGTGTATCGTGCCTTGTTCCTGAATCAAACGAGAAGGTTGGGTATTTAATTTTTATTTGATGTGTTTGTATATGGCGTCATCCCTTTACCATCCGCCATTAGAGAAGCAACATCGAAGCTGCTTATGAATAACCAGGGCGATAAACTTGTCAGATAAAAATATTATGAGTTTTTTTATACATGTGAAATCACGTGGAATTATTTCTAGAGTTTTCATGTTGACATGTTGACCCAACAAAAAGTAAAATTACAAAATTTGTCGCTTCCTATGATGTATATATACTTTGTCTTCTAATTTGTAAAAACGTTGGTCCACATAGGAAGAGTGTCTGAAATTTCTTGGCTTAAAGCCTACAAGCAAATTACCTTAGTTTTTATGACAAGCATGTTTTGCATCAGAGTAAAGTCGGAATTAATATATATTGTCGACTTTTTCATAAACTGCCTTTGCTCAAGTGCTCACGCAAGAGCGGGGCAACGAAGTTGAACCTGGGAGGAGGGTCGAATCTTAAATGCACACTAACAGGAACGCTGGAATGTCGATAATTCATGCGTGTTTTGCCTGATACCTTTCTTTGGAAATCAATATTTTACGAGATTTGACTACGAACATACGAATGCTTATTACTTGCCCCCAGTTTTCAATGTTCTGCTCTCCCCTAACACTCAGTGAACTTGAGTATTCACAAATAAGCTTTTTTAATACGAATGCTGCAAATTGATTATCTGTCTACTTGTGTCGCAGAATTTTTATTTGTTCACAATTTGTATTTACTCTCTCCAGGTACATGATAACAAACAATTTCCCACACACACACTCACAAAAGATGTACACATCATCGAGGATGGTTTGCTAAGTTCAGTTATTAACCGAGTAAGAAAAGCAAGTGTGTAACTTGTGATAGCTTCATATATTATATACAGTAAAAACATGACTTAGTGCTGATCACACTTGATGTCGACGGAAGAGACTAGATCAGTTAGAACTGGAGAATGTTTGGATGTGACACCATCATCAATGTATTTAAGAAATTAAAAATTTTATTTGAAAAAATAAATTATAACTCCAGTTTTGCAACACCTTTGAAACGGCTCTAGATAACATTATTTAAATAACAAGGAGAAAGACTTTTCTTTGTCATGTTTTCTTCTGTAATTGAGGGAATGCAAATTAATACACAATATTTAAGATATGTTGTATTTCATTAAAGCCTGATGATCCTTTTTCTTTATAGATGCGTAATTCATACTTGATACTAGACGAATATGTAAGTGTCTTTAGCTACTCTTATGGTTATGAATCTAGTTTTATGGCTTTATAGCTAAAACTTAAAGCCTCCAATCTACTTTATCTAGCTGTTAGTTTTTAACAATTATTACGATATATAGCTCCCTGTGTGTACAGAGAGTGTTTTTGTTCTCATGGCCACGATGTTGTGTTTTTGACTTTCCCCCTGATAAGTAAAAAAACGTCCTGGAAGAGAATTTGTCTTTAACATATAACGAAAGTTTTATTCTATGACTATATGCGTTTTTGGAAAAATGTTGTGCAATGTTTTAACGTGGACAAAAAATAAATAATTATTCAATGCACTTTTCGTGAGATTTGTTCAATTTGCCTGAGAAAGCATTCCATGACGTTATGTTATGGCTTTTTATATATACATGAAATTATTAATTTGCGTCGTGATTCATTATAACTATATACAGGTACTCTAGTATTGGTAGCGAATAATTAATTTACGTTTGTTCCGTTATTTTGGAAAACCTTATTTATATTTATAAGCACGAAATTCACGTTTTTCAATTGTTTGTACGGAAATTACTGAGCTAGTGGGCAAGTAATTGGATGAAAAGTAGCTATACGTTGTATGGAAAATAATTAAAATGAATTTTTTTGTAATTTTTGCATTTTTAGATGCGGTTTCTTGATAACACCGGAGGGCAAAAAGTACCGTCAAAATCAATTCTGGATGTTGGCGTGCAATATGCTTTAAATGCAAGTGGCTTTGACGAAAAAATGTTCTATAAGCGAGGCGGAAAATATATTTGGAGCAAAGGTGATATGGCTTTAGATTGGTGACATTAATATTAAGTATTGACTAAGACAGAAAGAAACAAAATGTGTTTTATTTACTTGAGAAACAACGCCAGTGTAGGGGAAAACAAATGCACTGTTTCTTGACGTTTCAGTCAATATGTTTTTTTGTTATATACCAATTTTCAAAGAGAATACTAACAACAACGTAAATAAACGAACAAGCTTTCCAAAAAGAATATACCATAAAAATAGCACAAAAAATACTAGGGAAAAATTTCTGTTCTTTCGTGATCGGAATAAGATGCTGAGCAAAGTAAGGCAAAGGTAGCTTTTCTTTAAATGATGAACGTGATTTTTTATTATTTACCTGTAGATAAGGTATTGTCTCACTTTTGAGCTGCCTGCAAGGAAGCAGCTCAATTTCTTCTCTCTTACGTGACGCACTTTCGACCAGTGAAAAATTAACTTTGAAAATTGTTTTATAACAATGGTATGGTAATAACCTAATATGATTAATTCTATATTATAATATAGTTAACATAGTTAATTCTAATGGTATAGGAACCAAATAAAATTAATTACAGTTCTTATCTTAGGATATTAGCACTATGCAATAAACATAAATTTTACCCACGAGTATTTTATATTTAATAATTGACACAAATTATCATAATTACGTAAAGGTGCTCGACAGTTCAAGCAAATCATCAAAGCTTATTTTTTAATTGTAGCTAAAGGTATAGCTAAAAGCTCATTCACTCATTAAATGATTGTCAATTCAGCGTCATAAAGTACCACTACTTCTATTTTATAATCATATTTATTTTAAAAAATGTTGTTTTTATTTGAAGTACACGCTTTGTAAAATTTTTACTTTCGTTATTATAATGGTTACGCAGCCGCTGTAAAAGCAAAGTTTTTGTATTCACTTAACAAGAATGACGAAACATAAGAAATGAACGAGAAAGTTTCCTAATTTTTATAACTTGATCAAAAAATGAAGCTATCTTCAGAACTCATAATAGCTCATAAATTATTACACGTTTCACTTATACTATTTGTAGTTTAACAACCTCATGCATATACAAAGGGTTATTGACAAACTAGCAGCACGAGCAAATCTTAACCCATATTTAATGTATTTATTCTTTGTATTCTGTCAATTTTTGCAAAACTAGCTAGGGATTGATTTCAAAATATTTTTGTGGTATATACTACAGTGTTGCTAAATATTCTAGGCAAGTTCAATTTCAACACAACTCTATTCTTAACTTCAAATCACACTTTCTCAAAAATAATACCAACAGACCCAAATCAATTTCCTGGGACTAAACAGCCTAAACTTAATTCCTAATAGGAGAATTTTGTTGATTTGTTTGATGCAAGATATGCACATCTCGATGAGTTTCACATTGTGTAACATGCATTTAATTAAAAAATAGAAATGATTGGGCCAAAACCAACAACAACTAAAACATGACGTAGTGGTAAAAAAACTTTAACCAAATAAATGCCATCACACTGCAAGTATAGTAAAACGTTACAAGTACTAACGAACATAAAGGACAAAGAACAACCCAATGAACGATAAGGTGCAGTTTACAAAATAAACTGCTCCCACTGCCACGCCTCCTATATCGTGGAAACTGGCAGGAACTTAAACATAAGACTTACTGAACACAAACGAGCTACTAAGAAACAAGACAAAACTAATTACAATGCCGAACATCACCGAATCACAAAGCATTGACCGGGACTCGGCAAAATGCATTACTTACAGTACTGACTATAGACAACGGCTTACATTATGAAATTGGCATACCAACTTGGAACAAACCCCTCTGAACAGATCACAGCAATTACCGGCACCTTACAAACGACTTATTCACAATACAAACAAACGATCAACTAAAAACATTACACTTCACACTAATTCATAATGACAATACACAATTGACACCCACACATTAAAACTTAAAACATCACACCTAAATCACACATCACAACTAAAAATAAAAATATTTCACTTCACACTAATTCACAATGACAATACACATTTCCTGTACACACAATACAATGACGTCAGAACCAGATAACAAATACGGCCAGTGGCGTAGCTAGCGAAAAACATTTGGTCGGGCTAACGAGACGCCACCATGGCTGGCGCCGAGCGAGAAAATTTTCCGAATTTAGACTCCCTAGAACGTTGGAAACGGCTTTCTTAGAAAGCAAATGCGTGGTATTTATGCAGGAAATAGAACCATTTTGGTTAATTTAAATTGCCGATGCATCTTATAGTAAAGCAGAGAAACTTCAAAAATAGTAGCAGATATGTGATTTATTTTCTCAACATCACATACATAAATAGATACCTATGTACATCTTGTAAAGAAACTTTGACAAAAGAACCGAAAAAGGCTGAGATTTGTCATCAACAACTATCAAAAGTTGTGATGCCGTTCATTGTCGTGCTGAAATGACAATCATCATTGCCTGCATTAAAAAGTTCCCGGAAAAATTCTCACATGCCATGGACGTAAGACATCATCAGCTTGCTATCAGCCATATATGAATACCAATTTGTATAAGAAATCAAGTCTTCGTGGTTTTTCAATGAACTTCTTTGCTACCTCATCATGCAATATGTTGGCGTCTTCTTTCTCTGAAATTATGTCTTTGTAAATGGAAATCCTGCAAAGAGAACTAAAACGTCCTTAGCTCATAGTATTTCTAAGATAATTTTTTACTCTCTTCAAACAAGAAAATGACCTCTCAACTGAAGCACTTGTAATTGACAAAACCCCATTTATCTTTAACAGTTTTACAACTTCTGAAAAATATATTTGAATAGTTCATCGCATGAATCACGGTGAAAGTCTTTATCTCTGTCAATAAAACAAAGTTGGCTAACTGGCATTGGTATGTCAAACACATCACCATAAACCTCCTTTAGAAGATTTATCTTTTCTGAGGGCACTTCACCTTTCCACATCTTAAACACCCTAGGGTTAACAAGGTCTAAAAATCTAAAACGCTCCATATCCTGAAATCGCTCAGTCAGCATAGTCACAATTGTGTCAAGAATTTCAAAATACATTTGTTTGTAATTATGCCATTGGTAATACCTGGTTACTGGTGGTCCCACTTCCTCAACAGCCAGGTCGTACATCTGACAATATTCTGTATCATTTCTCAGAGAAGCAACAAAGGCCTTGAATCTCTCAACCCTACTCATTCCATAATGAAAGTCAGTGTCCTTGTCTTGCAAGATAGAATAAAGTATGGATGACTGCTCAAGAATTCTCTGGAAAAAAAGTACCAAGAAACAAAACAAGAAGCCATTAAGGTAGCCAAGTAAACCAGTAACCTTACTTACCGCACCATCATAAGTCTGTCCAATAAATTTCTCTTTCACATTATTATATTGACTTAACTTACCCTTAACCACTGATGATATAGCAGTTGCAGTCCTATCACAACTAACATCAACAAACCCAAGCTGTCTTTCAATGACACTTTCCCCTTTGTCCATTCGAACAATTACACTCAATTGTTCTTTGGTAGAAACATCAGTTGCCTCATCAACCTGTATACTTAAGAAAGTGCAGCAATCTATTTCCTTTAAAATCTCATCCTCTATTATCTTATCAGGACAATCAATCAAATCATTCTGAATATCAGGAGAGACTCCAGTAAACCGCCCTCCCCCCGCAAGGTGGGTTTCAGCAAGCCTGCCATAAAATCGCCTTTCAAAAACAAAATCCATCTTGGGAAAACTTTCAAGTAGCTCTCTATAATTTCCTCTATTCATGCTGCCACTAGATTCATCATGCCCCCTGAATGCAAGCTCTTGCCTAGACAAGTATAAAACAGCTTCTCATATGGTTTTCAACATTTCCCTGTTTTGCCTTACCTCCTCGTTATGACGCTGAATCTCTTCACGTCTAGCTTGTGACATGAGACAGTCGACACGAGGCTGAAAACCGTAGGTCTTGCAGGTCTTGTAAGCACCCAAGCTTCTATTGCCTGTAGTCGCTTGTAAATTTGGAATTGGCCGCTGCTTTCCGAGTATATTTTGCTCGCCTGATTGTCGAACAGAAATGGTTTCTTTTGTAGTTCATTTATTATATCGATTTTAGTAGCCGAAGCCATTGTAATGTAAGTTATCACGATTTCCGAACGTATATTTCGAAAGCTCAAAATTCAAGTCACGCTTTTGAAAATGAGCCCGAGTAGATGTTTTTAAACGTTTGAGTGCGTTCACAGCTACTCTCAACCAATCAGATTACAGATATTCCCACTATAGATTTTACTACTTGGTCGGGCTGAATTTTCAAAGCCCGACTAGATGTTGCGAAACAGCGCATTTGAGTTTGCTCGGTTGCTGTCAACCAATCAGATTGCAGATAATCCCACTATATATTTTAGCACTTGGTCGGGCTGAATTTTCAGAGCCCGACTAAACTGCGTAATGCCTGGCTCTAGAAATGCACTAGTCATTGTTGCTAAGTAACGTTTAAAAATATGATAATTTTGCTAATAAGACGCAATTTGTCAAATATTGCACTAATAGACTGTAGATTATTCCACAAAGAGTCGTAGAATTTAAAATTTTCGCAAATCCAATTTTAAAGAAAACAAATTTTTCATTTTTGGGAAAATATTTGTTCGGGCTGGGCCCGACCAGCCAGACCGTTAGCTACTGTGCAACACCCTACGGTTATTAGGTATGTACAGCATTCATAAAATTTCATACTTATTTTAGTTATTCCAAGCAACAATTAAATTATCAGAGCATAGAATAGATAATATATGTATACTTATGTTACATAATGGTAGTGTATTCCAATTCCTGAATAGGAACAATCCAGAAGTGATTGAAATTGAAACAAATGATGTTGCTGTACAAGAAGATCTTGACAGTTTGCCGGAAGTGCTACAAAGAAACCATCATCCTGTTGAAGTAAATCAGGAATCAGGCATAACAGCGTCAACGTCAGGAAATACATCTACCAAAAATCGGTAAGTACTTGGAAGCAACATTAGTGGCCTGGTAAGAAAAGCGACTTTTAAGTCGTTAATTTTTGAAGCAAAAATAAAAGAAATATAAATAAGAAATTTCCTTGTATAGAGTTGAAGTAATGAGTTACGATGATCATCTTTTTAATTCAATTAAAACCACAATTACAAACACGTAAGTTGCGTAACAAAATTGCTCAAACATTTTCCAAAAATTTTCTTTTCGTTTTCAAATAGTAATATTATTGCAAAGTTAATTTTTGGTCACTTTTCCCTAGAACGGAAAATGGCGAACCCGTTCTAGCTCTTGAACGTTTGTTCAAAATTTTTTGCTAGGCTGCCGATTGGATGTTGCAAATGAAAATTCCGTATCAGAGGGTGAAACAACGAAAATATTTGTGTCACAATTGAAAATGTTCAATGATGGGATGGATGAGCTTTTGAAAGGCATAGTGAAAGAATATACTCTTCGTCTTGATGTGACATTTAAGGGAGAACTAGCACAAGACATGAGGTGTCCTCGTAAAGAAAAATTATTTACTCAAATAGAAGGAGAGAGCACTTATATTTTGGCATTCAAAACAATTGAATAGAAAAAAAATAATCTTAACAAACTTGACAAGTTAAAAAATCCTTTAACGTGTTGACCATTAATTTCACTTGGCTTTCTACTCTAAAAACATGTACTAAGTCGCTCAAATATGTACAGTTATGACACATTGAATGAACGATTTTTGATTTTCATACGTTTAGGTTGGAGCATGCTTCAAGGTGGTCTTCTTCCGTCATTTATGCATGATAGCCTGATCAATAAAATGTTTGGGCCCTTGGCTCCAGAAGAATTTAAAACATGGAAAAACAACTTCATGATGGTCTCAGCAGATTTGGCCTTGTCAAGGAACATTTTACAAAATCATGAGCTGCATAATATTAATGCTCGTTAGATATAACAAAACAAAGTAATCACAACTTGTTTCTATTACATACAATTTATATAGCTGTTTAGCAAACGGCCGTCATTGCTGTACCTGTTAAGGCCTACAGCTGTTGCTGATGTCACCTATCTATGACTTGCCAGAGTGTTGAAACCAGTGTTGGCTCTAACAGACGCATCCACAAAGAACGATCGTACAGAATATTTTTAAACTTGTTAAAGAAGGTTGCAGGTAATTACAAAAAATCGGAGATTTCAGAATCATTTGCATACAATCAAACTGTTGATAGAAATGCAAAATGAAGTCTTATGTCCTATCATTTCGACTTGGCATTCCTCCATACTCACTTTGGAATGTTGTAAATTATTTGGTGCTTAAAACTTTACATGCCAGGAACAAAAACCGGTTTAGTTTTGCCACAACTTTTAGATGGAGAATGACCAGTGACATGACAGCGCTATTTTAGATTACTATCCTGCCATAACGGACGGGATTGATTATTTTCATCACAGGAAACTGACACTCAGAAGATCACCTTCAGTGGATTTTTTTGTTTGGGGGGGAGGGGAGATCTTGCACTGGCTGAGTGGCAAATCGGCGGCGTAAAATAGCCACTTCTATTTAAGTTACATAAATGACCTTTTGTATGTTAGTATTGTATTGTGCAAGTCAAGTCAAAGAATTCCATGACAAATTCAAACGTCTTCATTTATTTGTATGTAAGTATAAGGCTCCACTTTCAAAATGATGTTTTAGTAAAAAATAATCTGTGGAAAAGGGAATTTATTCATATTTATGACGAGAGCCGTGAGAATAAGTTACGTTTCTTGTATATTACTCTGGCTGCTCATCTGATAGTAAAGTGGATAGTAATCTCAAACATTGTAAATAATGCTCAGTGTCCAAATTATCAGTTTGTGGCAGTTTTGATGAAAACTCGTTGAACGTAATTGAAGCTGTTTCATTTAAGGTGCAAGAGACCTCAGGTACAACAACTGCAGCTTCTTTAGTATCACTTTGATCTGGTAAACTTGCCTCCATATCCAACCCAAACGTTTAAGGTTCATCCTTAGAATTGAAATTACTTTTAAAATAAATTCCAGCGTAAATAAATAATCAATAATTATAAGACTTCAGGGAATAAGGCTGTCATTAAGCCTTATCGAATATTTTCTTGTTCTCTATTAAAAAAGAGTGTGATGCAACATTATTTTAATTGCTTGTATACCTCCGAAAGTTGTTCAAAATATTGGTTGGCAATTGTTTCATTTTCTTGTTGGATCTGTTGTATGCCCATTATAAAAAAATGTAGCGGACTTTAATTTGATGCAATCCACATCTTATGATTTATCCATGCATTTATAAAGTTTGCTAACATATCATTAATTATTGGCTTATAAGTTGCATGTAGACAGAACAGATGCACATGATTGTCTGGATCTAACTATCAATCATTTTTCATAAACAAGAACACGCTGTAAAATAAAGACACCACCACTTGATAAACATCACGCCAAAGACGTTCAATTTTTGAGTTATGAACACTACAACCGGTAGTATATCTTCGTCGCTGAGGTCTCCTTGCTGGATGCGCAATCATAAAACCCGCGACATCTCAATTTTCTCAGTCTTGAAGGCAAACCCCACTTTTTCACTACTGTTTTAAAAAGATCTAATACCGTGGCTGATTTTTTGTCGGTATTACAGGCCAGATAAACAATTTCACGACTATAGGCATCAATGCAACCATAAATTACAAATTGCCACTTAAATCACACGCATAAAAAACGGCGTAATTCACACTTTTGGAAAATCTGAGGGCTTTGTGCTTTACATATTTCACATTGTCTGAGAGTTATTGCATTTGATGCTTCATTTGGATCAATCCACATCAGATTTTTTTCTTAAATACGTCTATTTAAAACAAATAGTTAAAATAGGTAAATTCAGTACCTAATAAGCTTATGATTTCCATCCATGTGCCACAATGATAACGGCGAGTGCAATGAATATGTATGCCTTTTTATAGACTTTATTCTTCTAAGTCGCCTTCCTACAAGATCAACTCTCTTAACAGATTCTCTTGATCTTCTCCTTTGTACTCGTATTTCTTGTAGCACGAGTTGTCCCTTTATTGTTTTCAAACCTAAAAATTTAATAAGGTAAAATACAGGGGCGGATCTGGATTTTTCAAACATCAGTAATGAAACGTCGGAGGCGCGCCGAGCCTGGGGGGGGTCTGAGGCATTCTCCCTTGGGAAATTTTGAATTTCAGAGCCTTGAAAATGGTATTTTCAGAGTTATAGAGCAATACAAAATGTATTTTGTGGGCATCATTTTTGCGTAAAAACAACACATTTTGCTTAGTTTTTTCCAAAAAAAATGAAGTGAGCAATACTTGAATGTTTTTCCACATATTTAGGCTCATTATTATGCCAAATATATGGCTCATTAGCATGTCTAGGAACGTAAAATTTATTTTAAAATAATGGTTTTCAAAAAAATACATTGTCTTTAAAAATTTCTACCATATTGTCAGGCATAGACCCCCTAGAGACCACCATTCAAACCTCTATGTAATGAGTTAAGTTAGAAATTTGGTACTACAAGTGAAAGTTCATAGATATAGAAAAGCTCAGACTTCAAACCATGCAAGTTTATTTGTAACCCTTTACACATCTCCACATACAGTGAAAATTTGCAATTAAGGACAGCTTAATGCCATTAATGTTTATTAGGCATTTCACTAGACTATTATCTTCTGTAAGTATATGCAAGGTGTGCTATATAGCAATCACTAGTAGCATTGTATTTGCAAATACAAACAGAATGTAACCAACATGCCTTTAATCATATAATTACATGAATGTTGAAATTGTTTCATGTGTCATGCTTACTGGTTATGATAAATATTTTTTCATATGATCAAAGCTCGTTTAAATATAAATCTGAAATAATTTAGTTTAGAAATTATAATGATCATCAGAAAAATTACCTAGTGATCATGAAAAATACTTTGCTGTCTTGCCAAATTTCAAGGTTTATCTGCATACATAGAAACATAATTTTACTTTATAGAAAATCCTTTTCATACATCAATAGCCCTTTGGAATTTATGGCAAAAAATCTGGTATGAGCCGTAGATTAACACACCTTTACATCTCTACATGGGGTGTTCAGTTAGAAAAGGGGACAATATGTGACATGGCACAACATTTCATGTATGTGAAATACTCAGGTTTAATACCATTCCAGACAAATTGTCAAAATAGAAAGCTTCATGGATCAGAAGATTCAAAATCACAAGTTATAGTAAACAGTGTCTCACGTAATCAATGTTAGTTTTCTCAAATCCTAAACAATGTGTAATATAACAGTCCAATGATTGAATGATCAATGATCATAAACTGAGAAGCCCCAACATTTGTTTATGATAAAATAAATATTTTCTTTTGTCTTAGTTTGTCGTTATATGCTTATGTCGCTATTTAAAACCAGGCTTAATAGTATAAGTATTTTTAAGATATGAAACTAATTTTCGCAATTCGTCCCGTTCTTCCAATAAATCTTTTATAAAATCAGTCACACAAAACAGTTCATCGCTATCTGCCTCTGTTTTGACCAAATTCTTAATCAAGTCATGCCCATATGAGATGTTATTTCGAGCATGTTTTCTGTTGGATAGCCACAAGTCAAGATCTTTATGAAGCTCGTATCTCTTTTTCGTTGTACTATCAATATAATCTTTATATTTCTTTGCTCTTAGATTGTCAAAGTTACTGTCTAATAACAAAATCAGCTTCTGCAGTAAGTTTCGGTTTATGATTTCAGGGTCTTCCTCGAAAGCATCGGATAAAAGTTTACTTGCCTCAACTCGATCACCACTGTCCTCTAATTCTTTAACATCATTCAACAGCATAGCCGCCTTAAATTTGGGATGAGCAGGTAGGGTAACACTGAAATAAGTGGAGTCAAAATTAAATATAGGTAAAGGATTTACGTTTTTCTTCATCGTTCTAAATATTGTTTGAACGCCAGTTCCACGAGCCTCGGCTAAATTTGAACTCCGAAGGAATTCTCCAATTCGACAATTTTTAGCTTCAACAGGTAGAATGCTAGATCCACTTGTAAATTCTTCAACTTTTAAACTTGGATGTGGACCAGGATAGCTTATTATTTTCAGGCAATGAGGATATATTCTTACTTTTGTGTTCGCACTGTACTCTGGCTCATAACCTCGATGATAGACGTCATTAACGATCGCTTCACGTAGAGCTTGGAAAGGATATGTGACTAAACTTACGGAAATTTCTTTTTTGCAATAGAGTAAATGTATTCCAGGCAATGCTTAATTTGTTGGTGCAACGGGCCGACAAAATTCTTTCTCATTTTCCTTGACTACTATATTATCTCATGTAAAGTGTGTAACTTCGATTTTAGCGCACGGAAAATAAAAATGTGGACAATTATTAAACATCAAAAGCGCGACATTTTTAGGTACATAAATGGGCTTCATTTCACCGTTGCTCTTCTTTCTGTCTCCAAAGAGCACAATGAGGTTCATCTTTAGCAAAACATTTCGATCATTGCACCCTTCTAACTTGCTATTGACGTCATCCAGAAATTTCATAACTAGTATATTGGATATGGCGTTGATTGAAACTCTTTTTCCTGATTCTAAAATTACAAAATATTTTCAATTAAACAAATCGACGAAAAATAGCTACGCAATGCATACATGTAAGTAGCCTACCAAGTATATGGCTACAAGAAGAAGCAAATGCAGGAACACAGTTAAAGTTATATTACAAATTTAATATCATTTACATGAAACTTGTTCAAGATTATTAAAAAAAGTACTTTGTGTTTAATATTTTATTGAATGACCAAGTGACTGTCCAGGTCTGTCAGCATTTGTTGAACGTCATAGCTTAGAATGCAGGTCCCATGACTGTGCTAACAAATCTCACATCAAGAAAAGTAAAGTCCTTTAGATTTGTCACGACATATTATTTCATTAACTTTCACTAAAAAATTTTCGTTATAAAAACTAGCTATATTGACAACGACTTGCGTTTCAAAACACTTTTCGAGCTGTTTAAGGTGTTCACGTACACAAGCGACGAATCAACACGCTCGTCATTTGCAATGATGTGCTCACAACGATACTTATAAGATGCATCAATATTCTTAGATCGACTATTTGAGCTGTTAGTGTCTCTTTTTGTCAAATAACATGTTCACAGTTTATTTTTCCGATAATTTTGTGTTTATCGCAAACAATGTTTAATTTTAAAACGAATGATTATTTGCTAGTGATTGCAAATACTTTGTAACGCTTATCCGCGTGCTTCGATGGCCTGATCAAAACACGCGAAAATTAAGCCGGAGTTAAAAAACATTGTTTTTTTTTAACTCGAGCAAAATTACCAAGTGACCATTTACCAAAAGATATGGAAGGCTCTCTTTGAGTAAATATCTTGAAACTTACTTCAAGTCAAACACATCACATTTTAAATCACTGTCGTAATGTTACTCTATTGGCTGTGCGTGAAAAAATTGGAACTACGTTGTTAGAAAAAAGATGCATGCAGTACAATGGTTAAGGTAGATACTAGGTCATGTGATTAACAAATGAGCATAGTACACATTGTGCAATCTCAAACACTTTTTAAAAGCTAATTTCCATGTAGCTGCATTTTACGCCATAGCGCGAAATGCTCGCACCATATTGAATGACGCATGCGCCATAGTGTAAAGTTCAAAAGGTCAGTAGCACTTGTGTGATCTCTAGCAACTCTAGAGCAACGCGACCAAGTTGAATTCATCCTACTTTTAAGTGGTTTGTTTTGCTCTCAAACTCCAGCCTTCAAGATCACTGCAATAACGCGGCGATTTTCTCATCAAAATCACTGTTTTGTAGGAATCCTATCCCTTCTTCTTCGACAAAGTAAATAGATATAAATTACGGTGTTTTTAAAGCATTGAAGAAGTAACTATCTTTGTTGACAGCAGCCATGTTTATTTTCTCAACAAACAACGCACCAGTGCAATTTCAGCCACGATTTGCCCTTCCCAATCGAGAGCAACATGTGCCCGAGCATTTTCCTCTATGCGTAAATGGCAGCTGCATGGAAATTAGCCTTAAAAGCGATGATTATGATATTTAGTGTGTGGTACGTAATACTTGAACAATGAATGTTCGGACTATCACACCTATGTACACGCTGAGCACCTATTTTTTAAGTATTGGTCATTTGAGTTTGCGTAAGCAAAGTCATCAATTAAGAACGTGCAATGTCTTAAACAAACATACTACATTCAAGCGTTGCCTGTTCAGTTTTGCATAAGTTAATATGACCATTGGAATACACGCAAATATCGTTAGCCGAGAGCTATGATGTTTAAAGGGCAAACACACGGAATTGATGTCACAGAAAATCTTTGTTTTCAGTTACAAACAAACGGCGAAATAGTTTGAACATTTAGTGTGTTTACCTGAAATAATCCCCTGTGTGTTTACCTGAAATAAACAAATGTATACATTCGAAAAAACCTAGTTGAAGCTGTTGACCTCTTTCAGCAAAAAGAAAAGTAAAAAAGCCATTGTTTAAAAGAATGCAAAATAGACATTAAAAAAAAATTAAAATTTATTAGGACTAGAGCAAATATTGCTTTGAGATTAGTAGAATTATTATCATTGCTTAGTTTAAATATAACAACAAAATAGCAAAAAGGAACGTGTATTATAAGACTACGCCTTAAAAGTAAGAAAAAATATAGAAAGACGAGTCTGTTTTTTGTGCTGGACAGACAATGTTTTCAACAAAAAGTCACTTCTTGTACATGAAAGTATACAAGCATTGTAAGTGAATCAGTCACAATGTTCAGCATAAGCTGCATAGACAATAAAGTTGAAAAAAAGCAAACCATGAGGCAACAACTAGTTCTTTTGAATAGAAAGATTGACAGCATCTAGCAAAAGTATTAAGACAAAAAAGTTGATAAACGATGCTGCTATGCATTTACATGCTCAAATTTTTTTCATCATTAATCATTCTCTCAAACATTTAAGAGTATTTGCGAAGATTACATACATTTTTGCTATGTTTTTTTTTAATTCTGTGTTGACAAATGGATCATTTATCGAAGCCATTTTCACTAAGTATATTTTCTTGCGATACGGCAAATAACTCCAAGATACGTGCTTCAATAAGTTTGGTGTGGCTCTGAATACAAATTCAAATAAATTTCTGCCCTGATTCATCATCAGCTACAAATATAGTTTCTCATCAAAAACTTCTCGTTTTTCAAATCATGCTGTTTTCAATCGAAGCTTTGATCGGCAAGCAGAAGTGTCACGCACGTAACACAGTGCACGCGAGACATACACGAAGCGCGAAACCTTTTCAAGACGGCTTCATCCAATCACTGGGTTTTGTATACTACTTATCGTTCCAGGTATTTTACATTTCACTGTTTCCATTAAACTAACTGGATGTACAACGGGGCCTGTGAACTGTTGTGAAAAACATGGATCACTGATCTTGAAATAAAACTGGATCAAGCATCTAGCACAAAAGTTGAAGACAAAAATTAAGGAACGCCGCAATTATAAAAAGACCAACCTTCGAAAATTCGTGACTATTGTTTTTCGGCTTTCTACGCTTAAGTTTTTATTTTTTTTCTTCAAATTGACATGATATTATGTTAACATAAAAAAGAGTATTTCAATAAGAAATATGGCTATGAATGGGAAGAAATATTATCAAGATGAAGCAAATTTTATCTAGCACATCGTTAACGAAGTAGAGCAAAAATATGGTAAATCACTCATAATTAACTGGGAATATCAATAATCATATGAATTTTCAATAAAAATTTATCTATGTTGAAAGATAGAAAACTCGCCATTGCTTAGTTTGTCTGGGTTTTTCTTTTATCTTCGTTGGTCGGGGTGACTACGACTTATTAGCAAAAACGCTATTATTATTTTTAAGATTTTGTGGTTCTTAAAAGAACCGTTTTTTATCCATGACTTGCAATAACAAATGCACTGAAAATGACAGCTTCTTTCTTGAGTTCAGAAAAGCTTACCATGTTTGGAGAGTCACAGTAGTCATGGTCACTTTGCATTGGAAAGGGTCGATTTACTAAATCATACTTTCTTATGAGAGGTGCGACATTAATTGTGATATTATTTCCATTCACTTTACAGGTATCTGTTACAACCGAGAGGATTTTTGTTGGATCTCTTATCTGACAGTTGACTTTTCCACCTTGTATTGAGCTTCTCATCAATAAACGCTTGCAAGCTGCTATAAACTGCTGTGCTATTGGGTCATTGTTAAAGGGGAACTCCACCCAAAAATAATGTTGGTCTTAAAAGTTCCATTTTTATGCAAAGGTTACTATATTTTTGAAATTTTTACATCAGCTATTTTATTTTTGACAAAATCGCGTCTTCAAGTGCGCTATTTGAGCTGTTTTGAGGCTTAGCAGCGTGGGCACAGAAAGCGTCAGCGGAAATTATTTTGACGTCATATCGTCAAACCGATTTGGAGTTGAGTTTACAACAAAGTAAAATAATAACGCACAGCCTAGCACAAAAACAAAACAATCGCTTATAATGGCTTTTTTGGAAGAACCTCAGCCTAATTCACCAATCGATAGTGAAATGGAAGACAATCCAACAAACAATATTCGGCCATATCAGTTTGAGCCCGAATGGCCGGCTGATGAACACGAAGAAGCTCACCAGTTTGAGGATAACGAAGAACAGGAATTTTTGTGTATTGACGATGAATCTCGGCGCGACAATCTTGAATGGTGGGTAGTAAAATGTTATATTATTCTAGACCATTGTTTCTATCTCAAAAGTACGTTTTCAGTTTTTGAAGTTGACCACGTCCACACACACATAATACTTTAGATTTTAAAGTTTTTATTGTAAGATACAATTTTTATTGAAGTTTTGACATTTACTTTTCAAGATCCTTTCTTTTAACATATTCAGGTCTCAATGTGGTAACTGCCAAATAATGGATAATAACGAGGAGTGTTTATGCTGCAAAGAGATTTCCAATATTTGTGACAAAAATTTAGAGGCAGTAGAAACGAATGAGACCACCGAAGTCCCTTTGTGCATTACACAACATCCTGGTTTTGAGCCTGTTTGTCTTAACAGGTGGGTTTTACAAACAGCTTGGTACCAGTACAAGCAGCAATATGAGGTAGCATATGATGGGCCCGAAGACAAACTGTACCGCCATATTGCATATAGACAGTTGGCAAGATGGTGCTGGGGTGTCTTGGGTAGAGAAGTGAGAATCATCTTGCCATCATGTGCAGTTACTCGCATTAGAGAAACATTTCCTCCACCTGGCCTTGCAGAGGAATTTCAATTTGAAGGCTTTCACTATGTTGATGAATGAAGTATTTTATTATGATATAGGTATACCCATTACAATTACTTTGTATGTCAATATTAAACTGGCATAGCCAGCTCATTTATAGGTCATGCTATGAACATTTAGTATTATTAATTTATTACAAAAAAAAAAC